AAATTTAATGCCCAAAATAAAATGTAATTTATTTAGAGAAATTTTTGTAAACATATAAAAAGAATAATAATTTGTCTTTTTTTCTTTAGCGTTTGGTTGGGATGAACATGCCTCTCAACAGTGACGGTACTGTCACTTTCAATGCCACCCTGTTCGCATTGGTCAGGACTGCACTTAAAATCAAAACAGAAGGTGAAGCACATACAAAAAATCATAAAAATAAAGTCACTCATTCAAAATTTACATTACTGTGATTTTTCTTACAGGAAACTTTGAGCAGGCCAACGAGGAGCTTAGAGCAATCATAAAGCAAATTTGGAAACGCACTAGCATGAAACTGTTGGACCAGGTCATCCCTCCTATTGGAGGTCAGTCTGTGACCTGAGACAGTTTTCTCTTGACTCACCAAACCAAAACTTCTCACACAGACCTGTGACTTACAGATGACGAGGTGACTGTGGGAAAATTCTATGCAACCTTTCTGCTCCAAGACCATTTCCGAAAGTTCATGAAGCGTCAGGAGGAGTATTATGGCTACCGTCCCACTAAGAAGAGCGCCTCGGGTCCTGAGATTCAGGTTCTAGTTGTATTTAGATATCTCTTAGCTTTCCATCTTTAAGAATATGAGGGATCTTCATGTCATCTTCCATTTTCTTTTAGGCGGGTTTGAGGAGCATAGAGGAAGAGGCAGCTCCAGAGATGCACAGGGCAATTTCAGGAGACTTACAGAATGAGGAAGAAATGGATGGAGCTATGGGCGAGGCTGCAGAAGAAACCATTTATCAGGTAGGAAACTAATTTATACACTGATTGTTAACATATAAACCTGTTTGTTTTTTCTAATCTATATTTCATGACTGCATTTGAGACAAGTTAGGATTTCATTTTCTTGATCTTCACATTCCGTAAATCATCAGAAGTTATTTATTTCATCAATAATGAATCAATAAATAAAGGTTTGCCTGCTTTTGGTTGGTATCTCCAGCGATCACATGGTCTGTTTGGTAACCAAGGAGAGTCCTTCCCTGCCGAAGATGGTGACGCTCAGAACTCGCAGATGACGCACCAGCGGCCCCTTCAGTTCTCTGAGTCTGAGTCTCCCCCCAACTCCTCTGCCTTGGTGGCCAGTGCAGACTTTTTCCCTACAACTGCACCAAAAAGCAACACTAATAACAATGCCTTCGCAGAGTAAGTATTCATACACACTCCTGTTGGATGTGAGTGACACAAGCTGGTCGTGTGTCTGACCTGTTATGTTTGCCGCAATCAGATTTTTCTTTGAGAGAGAAGCAAGTCCAGAGGAGTTCTATAATCCCCCTGGGGATGAGGATCTAGGTATGACACTGTGACATATCTCTACTTGCACACAATGTTTTTATTTTTTTATTTTTTATTTTTTGTAGCAACATATCCTCACATATAACTGTATTTTATCAAGATTTTATGCCATAAGCCAAAGCAAAATATTATATATTTGTAAGGTGGGAGAACATGATGGAACCAGGACATGCATTCCTGCCAACCCTTTTCTAATGCTGTTCTGACATTGACCATCTTTTATGGTGTTGAGTTTGTTGAGAAGCATCTTATCCACAGCTGCAAGAAAGTGGTTAATTTAGGGGCAGCTCTGTGCTAGGATGCTCCTTGACACAGTGCAGACGTTGGGAGACAGAAAAACTGGAGGAGAAACCATATGACTCTTGCACAATGCCTCCATGTTCATGCATGAAGCTGCTGCAGAGCTGACCAACTCCTTCAGTGACAGATTAATGTAGCCTTGGAGCACAAAGAAATGTAAACAGAGATCTTAATTTCTCGGACCATTAGCTTTATAACCATCCAAGCTCCAAACAAGCTCAATGCATATTTGAATCTTTGCTGTTTTTATAGTCTTTTTTTACTCATTCTGATAGTCTGTGTTTTTATACAAATATATATATAAAAAGACATTTTGCACTTGCCTTAAAATCACCCCTCTCAATTGCCCACTTATTTAGTGATTAAGTTATTTTTCTTAACATATAGTAGTATCTTCATTCACTGTAAATTTAGTCTTTTCTTTGTATATTTTTGTGTTGTTCCTTTGCTGCTTGTTCAGCTGAATTTCTTCCCTATTGGTTTTAGTCAGAAGTGTAGAATTCAGTCATCAATCTTCAGGTTTCCCATTTTTCTTTGTATTGGTTTGACACATAATACTCCAGTGAAAGTCATTGCAGGTAGAAAGACTTTGGCAAACACTTTACTGCAATGGATTTAAACCAACTCAGTTTCTTTACATGTTCCTTATCAAATAATTTTTCTTTTTTTTTTTTGATTGGTCTGAATAGTTTACTGAGTTCTTAAAAAAAACTTATCACTTATACAACATATAAGTGATAAGAGATTTTATCTTATCTTTATGAAATCTAACTAAAGAATACATTTTAAAATTGTACTTTTTTCCTGTTTTATTTACCAGACCTAAGGCACTCCAGGAACTTTACAGTAAGAACAAATGAAACACAGGTATATTTTCCTAAACTAGACATGATATCTAATATGGATGATGGTGAACAGAGTGTGACAGCTCATACTTGATAACATGTCTTATGCAGTATCCTTATGAGCCTGACTATGGCGGCAATCAGAGCAGGAACTCAAAGTCTGCAGCTGATCAGCTCGTCCAAGAGGTAAGAGGGAAACCTAACTTGACCTCACACAAAAAGGTCAGCACCTGTTATGATTCTATGTCTTAGGCCATTATGTTCTTTTTCTAATTAAAAGAAGAAAAAGAACAAAAACAAGAAGTTGACAGCAGCTGTTTTGTTTTATTGTGTTTAGGAACTAATGGCATTGATACTGACAGGTCTGAAAAACAGCAGGGATGGTAGATTAACAGTTTTTTGCACATCTAATTACGGAGAAGTTTGTATAATCTTTATGTAAAAACGGCTTATAGCAGGAAAACAGTATTTATGTATTTGAGAAATTAAATACATATTTGAGAAATATGTATTTAATTTCTCAAATACAGAAATACTGATTTGAGACATTAAAAGTATTTGAGAAATTAAAGATGTTCTGTGTTTGAAAAGTAATAGTGATTTGCAGAGTATCTTGTTACGTCATTTCCAGTTACTAATTTCTATGTGATGGAAATTTATTCTGATATCACAAAATTATATCTGTTACAGCAAATCATGATAGGAAAGCTCATGTTGTGCAGGAAGGTGAACCCCTTTCCCTATTTTCCCCTGGAATTAACTTGTAACTTTGTCCTTTTTTTCCGTCAAGAATACCCTTAGCATGATGGTGCCACTGCCATGCTTCACTATGCGAATGATTTGTTAAGTGTGATGTTGAGCAATAATTTTAACCACATCAAACCTTTTGCAGATGTCAAATTTTAATTTACACTCAAATAATAAAAATAGTTGGTTAAGTAATGGGATACAGTTCCTAAGCTGCATATTAATTATTTCTACAGGTGTCCCCTAAAAGGGTCATAATTTTATTGACACTTAGAATTTACAAAAATAAAATACTAACGTTTGGAAAAAAATTAAATCTGTATTATTTTAGTATGCCTCACCATGTAAAAATAACATTTGTTTCTTTTCCCCTCAGGCTCTTGAAAGGGGAGGTCTTGTCGCCTTGTCCAAAGACCCTGATTTTGTCTCTGTGACTAAGGCGGAGATGGCTGATGCCATGCGGATCCCCGTTTCAGCGATGGAAGGCATGGCTAGGGGCATCCTCAACGAACGCTCTGACAGCATCCCCTCTATCAAAAAGCGTCGTCCCGTTCCTGTACCTCCCACTGTCCCCAGTGGACAAAAGCCCAGTCAGCCTGAGCCAGCAGTTAGAAAGAAGAGACGTCAAATTCCCACTATTCCTGCCAGAAACAAACATGGAGACTCTGAAGTGTAGAGGTGTTCTAGTTGGCTTATGTGGACAGTTACTTCAGCTCGTTGGGAGTTGTATTATCAAGCTTGTCGCCCCTTTGATAATCTGTATCTGTTGGGCTGAATCCAGGTCAAATAACAGGTTGGATTGGGTACACTGATGATCAATAAATCTGATACTCAGACGTCTTCCTGATTAGGATTTAATAAAAACTGAAAATTATCACACAGTAAGCAGATTGATGCATTTCTTTCATTTGATCATTTTCTGAGGATATCCATTCCACAGAGGGGGACAGCCGCAAGGAAGATGACCTTGATTGTGCCTTACACTAGCCTCCCTGAAGGAGGCAGGATTGTGACAGAGGCTCATTGTAAACAAAAAATGTCAGTAGCCTTTAATGCACTGCAGTTTACTGATGAGTGTGGGAAAGGACTCTGTATGGTGGAAACAGTTTTACCTTTCCACCAGTTATGACTCACATTTAAAGGATCTGGAGTTTTAAAGTAGGTTCAAGGATACAATTTCATCAGGTTTGCTATTTAAAACCGTCCTTTGAAGTTCATTTTGTATAAACTAAGCTGTAATAAATGTAGTTTATAATAAATCAGTAAATTTACCATACAGTTATAAGTTATCCTTTTTTTATCCTTTAGCATACCTGGAGTATGAATGGTTTAGCTTAAAAATTCAGAGCCTTATTCACAGGTTTTGCAATTAATTTATATTTATGTTGTGTTGGAATTAAAACTTTTAAGGGGTCTTCTAATTTTAATGTCCTGTGGTGTGCCTGTAATGCACTGTTTTAAAGTTAGTCTGAGTGTGAATTACCCCCATCTTCACTCACCGATTCTGTACCAGTAAGGTTATGTTTTCACCATTACACCCACAGAAAATAGCCTGTTTAACTGTTTTTGCCCCTGAATATAAATAAAGAACCCTGACATGTGGATGCTTTGGTAGTCATCTTTGAAGGGGGGCTGTGTAAATGGATTCTACAAATAGGTTGGCAGAGGACAGCTGAGAGGGTTTCTTACATATGAAGTAGGTGTTTAAAATAGGACAGCAGCTGATAATCAACAACACAGAATTTAAAAAAAAGTAAAAAGATGAGCACAAATAATTCACCTTAGATTTATTAAAGCAAAGGCAACCAACCAGATAGAATCATGTCATTTATGCAGACGTGATTTCAGACAATATGCTTACTTTAGGACCAAATCATGGGGTGCTTTTGACATAATTACACTTGTTTGCCTTCAAAAAGCTCCAAATTATCTGACTGCACTTTTAATTGCAGCTTTTATTCAGACATCACACCAAGGAATGTACCCAGCACAAAACGACTAAATGCTCCTGATTAAGTAAAAAAGTTGTACAGAAATAAAATGCAATTAATGTTTGGGGAAACACAACAGAGGACAGAAAAAAGCTTTAAGCAAAAAAAGGAAAAAGCAATTAAAAGCATAAACAGTATAAAAGGTCTTGCTTATTTTAAATGCATTACATTTTACCACAAAGTATAAATTCCACAGTTTGTTAAAAAGTTTCATTATCATTTTACTACATATACTTTATTAAAATAATGAATGATAATGTCCGAATTGAGAAAGGTCTGTTTTCATTAAATGTACAGACATCTTAGCTTTTACTGCAGCAACAAAAAGCATCCCCTATCACAGCAACAGAAGGTTTATGGGCTAATCTACAACATAAAAATACAACAGTTCGGAGAAAAAGAAAAATAGAGGACCTACAGAAAATATGATCTGTAACTCTGAGCTATATGAAACATGGTACTGAGCAATCTTAAGTCACTCATTTGGGTTTGGGTTGGCATCTGGATACTGTGAGAGGTCAAAGGTGAGCACTTTGCTGATGACACAATCTCCTTGCTGTGGACAAAAAAAAGAATGAGTTTATTATTATCTTGGTATATAAGAAAAAAAAAATCACTCCATTGTGATTGGCACCAAATATAATCTGTTAAAGCGAGTTTTCAGCCCTGCATAAATGTTAATAACAAATGGATGGCAAAAATTTTCAGCAGGAGACTGATGAGATCTGCAAATCCTGTTTGTCCTTGCTGCCGAAAATGAAAAATGATGCATGAGATACCATAAGCATAATAAGCCATAAGCATAAATGACTGACTTGATGTTGGGAAAGAAATCTGCCCATTGTGTTTGCATTAATGTTTGCTGACCAGGCTGAATGCCCAAGTTAATGTGTTTTACTGTGCAGCTAGATTGATTTTCTATATAGGTGGAGTGACCTTGTAGTTTGCATAAGGTCAATTATTGTGACATTTACAGACATTATGGCATCTTTCCCCAGCCCTGGTTAGAAACTTAAAATCTGCGGCAACATACAAAATGTTTTTTGGTATTAATGATGTTCATTGGCTAATGACAAGGGAAACCTACCTCTGGATAAACGCCTATTAGAGAGTCAGCTTTGGTGTAGAACTCCTCTTTCAGAGAAATAACAATAGCTTGAAAGTTCTCCACTGACTGGTCTTTGATGTAGTTGGCCACCTTGAGAAGAAAGAAGAGGAATCTTTGAATCCAGAGCACTGCTAAAATGAATCCAGTAATAGAGAAAGCTGGACACACCTTGCCAATGTTTGTGTTATCCAGAGCAGCATCAATCTCATCCAGGACAAAGAAGGGTGCAGGTTTGTAGCTATAATGATGCAGAAGATGCAGAGATTTAAGGTGTGGAAAGATTTAGAAATCAAAAAGGCAAATGTAGGATTTTAACATAAATGATCTTATCAGGTTTTTAAACTTTTACAATATGACCTAAAAACACTTCAAAGATTGTACTGTGTATTTTATCAAAGAAAGGTAAAATGTCTCCTCATTCTATATACTGTCAGACCTGTGAATAGCAAAAAGCAGAGCCAGGGCAGCAACCGTCTTCTCTCCTCCAGACAGGTTGTCCATGGGTCGGAATCTTTTCCCAGGAGCCACACAGTTATAGTTAATGCCATCCAGGTATGGCTCCTCTGGGTTTTCTGGGCCCAGAAATGCCTGAAGAAGAACCAAAGTGATGTAGTCTCTAATACCAGGTGTCAGACCAACTAACCAAAGCTGAAATTGTTACTTGAATTTAATCAAGCAGAACATTAAATGCTGGGTTGCCTTGTATTCTGATTGGGCACGGTAATAACTGAAACATACCTGGGCACTGCTGTTACGTGACAAAGCTTTGTAGATTTCATCGATGTTGGTGGCCACAGATTCAAAACAGGTATTAAAGCGATCAAATCTCTCTTTCTTGATCTGCTCAAAGGCTTGCTTTGCCTTCTTGGCTCTCTTACGAGCGGCCTCAAACTCTGAAACAAAGCAGCAAAAATATCATCACATCAGATAGTAATCATTAATGTCGTGCAAAGACAGATTTCTTCCTTTGATCTCATCTGTAAATCTTCAAACTAAAGTCCATTGTCGCACCATCACTGGTTTCTTGAAACTTGTCTCTGACACTCTCAAGTTTTTCCATGGCTTTCATGTTGGGTGCGCTGATCCTCTGCAGGATGCTCTGCTGCTCATTCAGACGTTGCTGCAGTGTGTTTGTTTCTGCTTTTATCTCCTCTTCCGACAATGCATCCTGTGGGAAATCAGGCAAATTTGATCAGCCTAACTTTTACTGCTCAGTGCTATGGTCAGAATGTAGAGAGCAAAATAAAGTCCAACAGATAAAAACAGTTTTCATGCTTGAATTGTTGGGTCTACCTTCAGATCTTCGGACAGGTTGCTGTAGTCGATTTCTATTAGAGCTTCTTTAGCCAAAACGCTGCTGGACGTCCTCTGACTGCTGGAGTCATCCGTTTGTGAGCTCCCCTACAACAGGAAAGAATTTATTTTTTTTTCAGATCCCATTTGTAAATAAAACACCACACACGAGAACATCTTCTCAATGTTTTCATACTTCTCCCTGGCTGATATCGTCCATTGTTCCAGAGCGAAGTGGCAACCTGATGTCCTGCATCTTGCAGGCCTGCAGCAGGTTGTGGCGGTCACTGCGCTTCTGCTCCAATTTGGTCTCAATGGCAGTAACCTCCTTCTGTAGCTGGGTTAGCTCTCTGGAATAATAAAACAATCATACATTTCATCCATGTTTCAATCGAAGTATAATCTGGGCATTAGTTGGTACAGACTTGTTAGCGCCTCCAAGTTTTTTGCGAATCTCCTCCATTTCATGATTTTTATCATTGACTTCGGATTTCTTGGTGAGATGCTGGTTCTTCAAGTCTTGAAGCTGAGCCATTGTCTCATCAATGATTTTCATGTGTCTGTGTTCCTCCTAGAAAAAAAACACATGTCAGATTCACCTCAAATTAAATCAAAGTAAATAAACCATAAATTCATTCATTCATTTGAATGAATTATTTACCTTCTTAAGGCGCTCTATCTCAGCCTCATCTTTCTTAACAGTTTGTTCCCACATCATGACCTTCTCCTGGTCCTCCTTCAGCTGGTTCTTCTCATAGTCCACCTGGATTCCCAGACGGGTCTTCTGGGTCTCAAACTCAAGACTGAAGTCAAAAGCATAAGTTAAACATCGCAAGAAAAGAGGTATTTTGTAGTTAAAGGAGGAATCTGATTTTCCATTTCTAGACTGACCGTTTCTTAGCAATCTCATTCTGCCTCTTCACTTTCTCCTCCTCAAACTCTCGAATGTTTCTTACTCCAATCTCCTTACAGAATTCAACAAAGACCTCATCCTCCACCTAGAAGACAAAACAGCAGTTAAGTACATTAAATTATAGAAAAGGATGATTGTAAACAAGCAACAGGCGAAGGGAGTCTCACCAGGTTCATGCGGTCCCGGAGGTCAGTGATCTCTCGCTCGCGGGATTGGATAATCCTCTTGATGTCATTGATGCGAGGGCCGAAATTTGCAAGTTCGCTCTCCAGTTTGGATTTCTCCTGCATTAAAGATAACACAGAACTTTTAGAAAAAACACTATTACTGAGAAAAACAAAACAACGAGAGAACAGATCAGGAGCAGCAGAGTGTACCTGCATGTTGAGGGAGAGATGCCTGGTTTTGGTCTGCTCCAGATCGCTCTGGGAGTATTTGAGTCTCATCTGCAGGCCGTGTGCCTGAGATTGCACCTGACGCAGTTCTGCCTCCTTCCTTTTTGCCTTCATTTGCTCCTACAAAGAAAATACAGGAATGGTTTATATAAAAAACAAAATACACTAAACATACAGTCCCATTCTTGACTTTGTTTGAATGTTACCTTTAACTCTTCTGTAAGTTTTTCCTTCTTCTCCTTTAGTTTGTCTACCGCCTTCTCGTCCCAGCGCCTAGCCTTGGCCTTCAGGTCGCTGGCTCCTCCAGAAATGACTCCAGACTTCTGGAATAATGTACCATCCAGGGCTACAGTCTGATCGTAGGAAAACAATGACATATTAGAAAAATCAAAAACACATAAATAAACAGTATTCTAATCTTAAGTCAAGTTAATTACCTTATGTCTGTAAGGGCCTCCAAAAGCAATCCTTCTCGCATCTTCCACATTCTCACAAACCAGAGCATTACCACAGGCATACTGAAGGGCTTTCTTAATGTGCGGCGGCTCATATCGGATCACATCAATCACCAGCTTGGCCCCTCGTAGTTCTCTTAGTTTTTCATCTGTTGGTTTAACCTAAGGGAAAACAGTTTTTCTGCTCACTTAGTGATCAATATTTATGAAAATCACCTGCAAGACAGCTGCTGGACTATTTAAAACCTGGAGCAACACCTGGCTACAGCAGACCTGTCTGTTCTAAATTCAGGACTCTAAAACCCATGAAGGTTTTAAAATAAAACCTTCATGTCATGTTTCCAATCTAATGACTCTTGCAACAGATATTATCTGGAGTTTAATAGTTACCTCTAAATAGTCGAGAGGAAGGAAGGTCTCTGGCTCTCCTCTCTGCTCCTTTATGTACTGGATGCAGTCTCTACCAGTCTTCTCTGAGTCAACAATGATAGCGTCCATGTTCTTGCCTAATACTTTAGTGACAGCAATCTGATATTTCTTTTGAGTGGGCTGACACAAGTCAATCAGGCGGCCATACTGTAAAGTAGAAAAGAACAGCAAATAGTTTTATCCAAACATGTTCTCAGTTCTTCTACCATATACTGCATACAGGTTAGCTGGTAAGGACTGATTTAGTTGTATTAATTAGTTTGGGTTGACTTGCCACAGATCCAGGATAGAGCCGTTTGATGCTCTCCATGATCTCTGCCTTACGCTGCTGTCGACTGTTTTCCTGTCTGTCGATCCTGGCGTCTCCCAGCTGCTCCATCACCTGAAGAACATACCAGTCACAAAGGCAGAGGTCAATCCTGTCATGGTTTCCTTCTCACATATTACCATGCACAGTCTACAATCTTGGCAACTGAATCAGATCATACTGGTTGTTATGGTGGTTACTCACATATACAAAAAGCTGTGATGGAATGTAGTTACAAATAAAAAACAGAAAAAAAAAACAGAAAAAAAAAGAAAAAAAAAAAAAAATATATATATATATATATATATATATATGTATATATATATATATATATATATATATATATGTTCCTTCTTACTTTTGATTTAAAGCACTTCTGTATGGCTTTACTAAACTTTCCAGTTTTAAACCAGTTGACATTTTCAAAAGCCTTACAACTTCTCTGTTCTTTTTCATAATATTCACTCGGTGTCTCGCTATGGGATGCAGCCTCCTGCAGCCCTGATAGAAGCATCTATCTCAATCTGCCAATCCTGATTGGCCGGTGGAAGTGCCCGTCATACGCCACGCCCCGTAGCTCCGACTACTAAAGCGTGTGCGGATCACGGCACTCCAATTCAAAACCTCTTCTCACCTGAGAGCTTATCTCACGTCGGAGCCTTCGCTAGCTTAACTGCCCACAGACGGACCTTGCTAGTTTCCGTCGCCGGACGCTAGCACTGTGCTCTGGCTTCTGCCCTGTCCGCTCACTCCAGACCGGACCGGTAACCTTTTGTCTCTCTTCACGGCGGAATCCCTCTCGGCTCCTCTCCACGTACGCTCGAGTCGGACGAGCATTTAGCACACCAGCTACTTCCTCGACCCCGCCACGCTAGCACGCCAGCTAGCTACGGTTCCTTTCCCTACCAGCACTCCAGCTCGTCGGGAAATGGCGGCCGTCCAAAACCCCCACGCCAGGGGAGACCACCGTCTTTGTGGCTGCGGGAATAAAATTTCAGGGAAAGACACCCACCCGGTGTGCGGTACCTGTCTAGGAGTCGACCACGCCAGGTTGGCCCTAGAAATTCCCGGCTCCTGTGGACACTGCAAAGTGTTCACGGTCAAGAGCCTCAGACGCAGGCTAGCCCGTCAGGTTAGCATCTCGGACCGTGATCCATTCCTCCCCACCGCCGCACAAGGTGCAGCCGCGGAGGAGGACGTGGACACAGCTGGGGAAGCCCCGGAGACTGACTACGACTGGGGTGCCCAGTGCGAGCAGCTCCATGCCCCCCTGTTTCCCGAGGAAGACGTGCTGGAAGTCAGTCCCATGGAGGAGGATGACGACACCTCGTTCCTCATATCAGAGGACGAGGAAGAGGATGACACCTTCATGGCCCCAGCACAGCCTGAGAGGCCTAAACCGCCGTGCCCTTCCGCCATGGAAGACAGGGGAGCGAGCTCACCAGCTCCCTCCCTCCATGTGGACCTGCTCGACGTGTGCAAACGCGCGGCAGAGAAGCTGGAGATTCCCTGGCCGGTCGCAATAGCGGAGCCCACCCGGTCCCGCTACGAAGGCAAACGGCTTCCCCTGGCACGAAATGCGGTGAAGCAGCTTCTCCCTGTCTTCCCCGAGTTGCTGACGGAGCTCTCCAAAACATGGACTAGCTGCCCATACAGCAACAGGAGCCCTATTTCGGGCGCAGCATCCCTCGACTGCGAGGCGATGGACGCCCACGGCCTCCTCTCCATGCCTCCGGTGGAAGTCCCGGTAGCTGCGCACCTCTGCCCAGGCAGCGTGAGCCAGCTGTCTGCAGCTTCCCCCAGACGCCCGACGCTGCCAGCTAAGCCCGAACGGTTCCAGTCTGCGCTGACCGAAAAGGCATACAAAGCAGCAGCCCTCTCGGCCAGAGCCCTCAGCGCCCTCTCCATCCTCACTGCCTACCAAGCGGAGTTGTTTGGCGCGTCTGCTGAGGAGCAAGACCCGGATGCGTGGGAGGAGATGGCGGTCATCGCGGACCTGTCTCTCCGTATCCAACGTGTCGCGGTCCAGGCCACAGGGAAGGTGATGGCAACCCTCGTCGTCCAGGAGCGAGCGCGATGGCTCAGTCTCGCTAACCTGACCGACAGGGAGCGGGATGACATCCTGGATATGCCGATCGTCCCTGAAGGCATCTTCGGCTCTGCATTGGCCACAATGCAGCAAAGATGTGAGGCAAAGAAAAAGGACAACGAGGCCCTCAAACTTTGTCTCCCTCGGAAAGCCCCTGCGCCTTCACCTCCGGTGCAACGCAAAACCTTTGCGCATGCAGCCTCCCAGCCGCCGCGTTTTAAGGTACCAAGACGGCCACCACCGCCAGGTCCGCCCCCTCCGATGAGGAAGGAGCGCGGAGCCGGCTGGCAGGGGAAACCTGCCTCCACGACCGCTACGCCGCCGCCGCCCACAGCCGCCGCGAGCTCGGTCCCACAGGCGAGGAAGAAAAAGAAGAAAAAGTTCCTCAGTTGGTGCAGCCTGCTGTTCCCCGTTGCGCAGGCCCACCGTTTTGGCTTGTTTGTGCGCACCCCACGCCACCGTTGCCCATCCCAGAGCCGGTCTGCGAGGAGAAGGACATCGCCCCGGAGGTCTGCGCGGTTGCGCCCCGAGCGGAATGTCCAAAAGCACAGTCACACACCCTTGTTCAAAGAAAAAATGGTGTCAAAATAAAAATAAATCTGTCACAGCCAGGCCACGAGCCGAGGGTGCAGATAATAAAAAAAGCCAAAACAGACGATGCTCTCTCTATAAGCAGGGTGGCCGCTCAGCCCCCTGCAGCTCTGCTCCCGGGACGGGCACCGCCGTCCCCGCGGAGCAGAGCAGAGCGCTCCACCGTGCCTCCGGTGGTGCCCGAGAATCATTTCTCGGTTCCACCACAGGGGGGCGCGGGGCAGGAGCCGCAATATGTTCCCCCGCTCTCTCTCAGATGGGAAAGCTGGAGAGCAGCAGCAGCTCCACCGTGGGTGTTGCGCACAATTTCCCGGGGATACAGGCTTCAATTCGCCACTGTCCCTCCCCGCTTCTCCGGTGTAATACACTCACATGCACAGGGAGAATCAGCTCGAGTTTTACGGGAGGAAATTCTCTCTCTGATAGACAAACGAGCAGTTTCTGTCGTATCTCCCGAACAGAGTCTGTCAGGGTTTTATTCCAGATACTTCCTCGTCCCCAAACGGGGGGGGAGAGGAATCCGCCCTATTCTGGACTTAAGAGCCCTGAACAAATTCCTGCGGAAATACAAGTTCAGGATGCTGACACATGCAGCTCTGTTGCGTCTAGTAAGACCGAACGACTGGTTTTCGTCCGTGGATCTGAAAGACGCGTATTTCCACATTCCCATTTATCCCCCTCACAGACAATATCTCCGGTTTGCCTTTCAAGGGGTGTGTTACGAATACCGTGTTCTACCATTCGGTCTGTCTCTCAGTCCGAGGGTTTTCATACGGTGCACAGAGGCCGCGGTAGCCCCGCTCAGACGCCGGGGGATACGTCTGGCCACGTATTTAGACGACTGGCTCCTGTTAGCGCAGTCAGAACAGGAAGCCAGGGTTCACACACACATTGTCACAAAACACCTGATGGATTTAGGTTTTGTGATAAATATGGAAAAAAGCCACCTATCTCCAACGCAGGAGATATGCTTTCTGGGATTATCCCTGCGCTCTGTTGCGTTCACAGCCCGCCTGTCAGAGGAAAGAGTGACGGTTTTCAGAACGTGCCTGTCACAATTCCGTCTGCACAGGTCTGTCCAGTTCAGACTGTGCCTTCGGTTGCTGGGTCTGATGGCCTCAGCCATCCTCGTGATTCGCCTCGGCCGCCTTCACATGCGGGACTTTCAGCGCTGGGTCGCTTCGCTCCGAATGGACCCCGTGCGTCATGGCGCACGGCGGATAACGGTCACAGCGGACTGTATAACAGCTCTGCGCTGTTGGCGAGCCCCGTCCTTCCTGACCCAAGGGGTGCCTATGGGCACCGTCTCGTCCAGGAAAGTGGTAACCACGGATGCCAGCCTATCAGGCTGGGGCGGCATTCACGAGGGCAGGTCTGTGAGGGGTCGCTGGAGCCAGGCCCTCCAGCGCCTTCACATAAACTTTCTCGAACTTTCGGCGGTGTTTCTTTCTCTGAGACACTTCCTCCCATTCCTCTCGGGTCACCATGTCCTGGTGAGGACGGACAACACGACAACAGTGGCGTATATCAACCGCCAAGGGGGCCTGCGCTCCCGCATGTTGCACAATCTGGCGCGCGACCTGATTCTCTGGAGCAGTACCCACTTTCTCTCCCTGAGAGCGACGCACGTCCCGGGAGACTTGAACACGGGTGCGGACCTGCTGTCCAGAGGCGCGCCAGTGTACGGGGAATGGACGCTGCACCCACAGGTCGTGGAGCAGATATGGGCGCGCTATGGGCGCGCTCAGATAGATCTGTTCGCGTCCAGGGAAAACGCTCGATGCGAGCTGTTCTTCTCTCTGAGCACTCTGAATGCCCCTCTGGGCGTAGACGCATTAGCGCACGCCTGGCCGCACGAGCTGCTATACGCGTTTCCACCGCTGGCCCTGATACCCCCCACTCTCGCCAGAGTGAGGGCATTCAACCACAGACTGATCCTAATAGCTCCGCACTGGCCAGCGCAACACTGGCTGGCGGAGATATTCCAGATGCTGTGCGCCCAGCCTTGGGAGCTGCCGCTGCGCAGGGACCTGCTCTCGCAGGGTGCGGGGACAGTGTACCACCCACACCCGGAGCGACTGCAGCTGTGGGCCTGGCCCGTGAGTGGCTTAATTTAACCACTGCCGGGCTCCCTCAGAGTGTAATTAATACTATCCAAAACGCCAGGGCTCCCTCCACTAGGAACCTATATGGCTCCAAGTGGGGACTGTTTGAGCGGTGGTGTCTTGAACGGGACTACGTTCCTTTTCAGTGTTCTGTACCAGCGATTCTGTCGTTTTTACAGGAACTGATTGATAAAGGAAAAGCTTTTTCCACGGTTAAGGTTTATCTGGCAGCTATAGCAGCATGCCATATAGGATTTGGAGACAAAACGGCGAGCCAACACCCTTTGGTTTGTCGGTTTATGAAGGGCGCCCGCAGGCTCCTCCCCGTCTCCAGACCTTTGCTGCCTCCGTGGGATTTGTCGGTGGTTCTGGAGGGGCTTAAGGGACCCCCATTTGAACCGTTGTTGGGGTCCAGTCTTAAACATCTGTCTCTCAAGACAGTGCTGTTACTGGCCCTGGCCTCTGCGAAACGAGTCAGCGACATTCATGCGCTCTCCGTGAGCCCCGCATGTACCCGGTTCGACCCGGAATACACGCGTATGGTTCTGAAGCCCAACCCGGCCTTTGTTCCTAAAGTGGTTGGTTCTTGTTCACCGATCGAGCTAGCGGCGTTCGCCGCCCCCCCCAGGTGAACGGCGAGCGCACACGCTGTGCCCTGTTCGAGCCGTGCGCTCTTATATGGACAGGACGCAGAGCTTCAGGATGAGTGATCAGCTCTTTGTCTCCTGGGCGAAGCCCCGTAAGGGGCAGCCGATCACAAAGCAACGCCTCGCCCACTGGGTGGTGGAGGCTATAGCTTTGGCGTATGGAAGCAGGGGTCTGCAGCCCCCGGCGGGTCTGCGTGCACACTCTACCCGCGGGATGGCTGCGTCCTGGGCTTTATTTCGGGGAGTGTCCGTTCAGGACATTTGTTCAGCGGCGAATTGGTCTTCGCCTCTGACTTTTGTCCGGTTCTACATGCTTGACGTGTCTGGACCGTGCGTGGCCAGTGCGGTCCTAGAGTCATAACTGACCTTGTGGACCTTCCCCATCGGCCGGTTCTTGTTCGATAAGCTATCTGACAATACGGGAGCTACCATATCCCATAGCGAGACACCGAGTGAATATTATGAAAAAGAACGTTTGGTTATCTAACATAACCCCAGTTCTTAGAATAATATGAGCGAGGTGTCTCGCCAGACGACCCTTCTTGCAGGGCGGCGAGAAGAGGTTTGCTTGTTGAATTGGAGTGCCGTGATCCGCACACGCTTTAGTAGTCGGAGCTACGGGGCGTGGCGTATGACGGGCACTTCCACCGGCCAATCAGGATTGGCAGATTGAGATAGATGCTTCTATCAGGGCTGCAGGAGGCTGCATCCCATAGCGAGACACCTCGCTCATATTATTCTAAGAACTGGGGTTATGTTAGATAACCAAACGTTAGCATGTTTTTTATTGTAAAAATAAAAATACATTTTAATAATTACAGTAGCTTAATTACATGTTACAGTAGCTTAATAAAAACAATGTTGTTAATGTTCTAAAGCCTTTTATTTTCTACAAATATCAAATAAGTATTTTGTAAATTAGGTGAGAATTATCCTCACAGTTTCAATGTTTTCTTTTACCTGACACGCCCAATGATATCAGGTAAAAAGATGTTTTATTTGTCATGGACAATTTTAGGAAACAAATGAGCTGAAGAGAAAACCTGGAGTCAAGCTAAAGAGAAATATCAGACATAATTTTTAAAGCGTTGATACAGTTCATATATAAGACCAAAATTTTTCTTTCCGTTTTCGTTACCTGATTAAGTTCCATGTTGATCTCATCAATCCTCCTCTTTGCCATCTCCACTTCCTCCGTCAACTCCTCCTCCATGCGCTTCTGCTCATCAAGTGACTGTCTGTTGTTCAATAATGTAAATGTGTGAGTGAAGGAGTAATCTATAGCATAATATCAGATCAATAAACAGCATAAATCTGGTCATAGAGAACCATTACCTGCTAGTGGTAATGTAATCCTCTAGCTTCTCAATACGTTTCTGGTTTTCTTCAATTTCACGAATCTTCTGCTTGATTTTGGCCTGAAGAGAAGAAGAGATTTGCAAAAGCGCATCAGCTCAAATTCAAATCTCTAAATCCGTGCTGAAAGAAAAACAAAAAAAACAAACAGTCTTTTGTTCCCTTACCTCTGTCTCCACCTTCTTCCTCTCCTCCAGGTCAAGGCGGTCCTGGTCAGCCTTCTGGTCCCGGTTGAACTTCTCCAGTTCCTGAGCCAGAGTGGCGGCACGCTTACTAGCCTCCTCCTTGAGACGATGGTACTGCTTAACCTGAGGGCAAGGAGAGGAAAGAAGTCAAACTAATTTTTTTGATTGAAATTAAATTAGGAGCTCATTAAACAAAAATATGACCTAAAGCAAAAATATTACTTAAGATGAGAATTAAATGATAATGGAAATTAAAAAGGTAGGGAGGACAGAGATTTTTTTTTTATTACAATTATTTAATCGATTTCAAAATGTTAAACCTTTCTTTTCCTGAAGGCTTCTATTGGTTTGATTGAACCTCGATTTAACTAATAGACAATGGAAGCTTTGAATTAGGGATGCACGATATAATCGGCCCCCTATCGGTATCGGCCTGTATCGGCCTTAAAACTGAATATCGGACATCGGCCACCCCACCGATATTTAACCAGATATTTGATCAGCTTCTGAGTTTCTAAAGTCTAAAAAAAAAATAAAAAATACTACTTCTTCTTCTTCCTCAAAAACTTCTTTTTTACAGACTTAAAAGCTTCTAAAGACGAGGGAAAAAATATTGATACATTAAAATATCACAATATCTTCATATGCTGATATATTGCCATTTAAAAACACCATATCAATCTCTTTTACTAATGAAATATTGCTATAAGTCATCATTATGCTACGAAATCCCCCGAAAATCCACGAAATTTTGCCATATTTTTATATGTTGATATATCGACGTGGTATCGATCTATTTTACTAACAAAATCTCACAAGAATTTGCAAAATATCACGAGAGTTTGTAACAGAATGATGACAGAACGAGATTTTGAAAGTAAAATAGATCAATACCGCGTTTTTAAAAATCAATTTGATATCAGCATATGAAAATATATTTGAGTATATTATTTTTCAAAGTGTCAGAAATGGATAACAAAACTGCTATTTTCAATGACTACTTATTTTTGTCCAGCTTTAACATCGGTATCGGTTATCGGCTACATGAGTTTTAAAATATCGGCATATCGGATATCGGCCAAAATCCCAATATCGTGCATCCCTACTTTGAATGCATCACATCAGACCTGATTTTCCTCCAGAGTGAGGTCCTGGCCCTGGCTCTGTGCCTCCTCCTCCATTCTTTCCTCAAACTCCTGCTTGGCCAACTCCACAGCCCTCATCTCCTTATCCAGCTCATCCATGTCTGCTTTTCGCTTCTTGTACATCTTCTGGGCGTTCTGGAGCGATTTTTTCGCAGCCTCAAGCTTCTTGATTTTGTGCGATGTGTTCTCTTTGGCCTTGATGTACTGAGGCCTCTTTTGGTTCAACTCAGAGTCCTTCTCTCTGCAAACAGGATGAAAACAATCAGTGAATTTCAGGGGACAGGATGTGAGTATGGACACCTAGAGATTATCTGAATCATGTGAGGACATACTTTATTTCTTTCTCAATGGTCTGCTGCTCCCTCATCAACCTTCCCAACTCCTTCTTCTTATCCTTCAGCTCCTCCTCCACGTGGTCCATCTTCTTACGGTCCTTGTCAATTTCTTTGTTTCGCTGACCCAGCTCTTTATTTAGCTTCTCAATCTCCTCCTCATTGTGGTACAACTTGAAGAGCTGTAACTGTACACTTGCCCTGGCTACCTCATCTTTGAGGCGTTGGTATCGCTCAGCCTGACAGGGACAAACACAAGGGAGAGAATAATCGTAATTAGTATTGTAACCACTTTTCATTCAAAAACATAACTAAGTTGAACTTTAAGGCAAATTTAATTTCGACACAAAAATAAAGGGATGTTTTTAGAAACAATGAGATGCATCAATAAGACTAAGCCTGGACCAAAAAAATGGATTCGATTCATTTCAATTTTTTTTTGTGGGCATTTAAAAAAAAAAGATAAATAGATTTTTCTTTAAAACAACGGTGCATTTTTGGCTCCCGGAGTTTCCGTAGCTGCAGTAGCTCTCAGGTTGCAGTTTGGCAAGCGACAGCATCACACAAAACAGCAAACAACATTATAACTAAAGATGAATGAGAAGTTTGTTCTCAAAATAGAAATAAAATCATCTGTTGTTTGGAACTGCTGAGCTTAAAGTTCTCCAGCATAGTGGAATTGAGGCGGCATGAACTCAATCAGCTCCAACCGTATGCTTGCTCCCAGCAAGGGGATACAAATTCTGGCGGGGATAACTACCTTGGCACGACATCAGCAAAGGATGGGTGGTGGCAACTTTATTAAGATGCGGTTATATTAGAAGAAATGGGGTTGTGTATTGAAATACATATTTGAATCTTGAAACTTGAAAATGTTCAAAATGAAATTTAAAAAAGTGAGTTGATTTTTTTCAAAGTTCTTACCTCCTCTTTCTCTTGCTTGGCCTCTTTGCGCTCTGCTGCAATGTTTTTCTTGCGATGATAATTGAACTGTGTGTCTTCCTCTGCTTTCACCATCTCCTTCTTTCGGCGGTCATACTCTTGTGCCAGCTCTCCAGAACGTGAGATCTCCTCAAACAGTGCTGTTCGCTCTTTGGGGTTCTTCATAGCAATCGACTCCACAGCCCCCTACAGTGTAATAAATAAATAATGAAGACTCAGGTAAACAGAGGCAGCTGCCCAAAAAACAGAAGCAATAATTGTTTCTGCATCATATAAATATTGTGGGGGTCAACCATGTTTGCCAAAGATGGAACCCCTAACCCTAATCCACTTATAACCAAACAATGATGAAAGACGGGGTATGTTAGCTTTATAGGCCTACTAATTCCTTTCATGTAAAATACTGTGAATGAAGCGATTGACTAAACACTTACCTGAAAGACAAGAAAGTTCCTGGCCTTGATGAGAATTCCAAGTTTTTCCAGCTCCTCACTATATTCAGGAAGTCCAACCACTTTATTGTTGATGCGATACTCAGATGAGGCCCCTGGGACAAATTAAGTGTAATTTCATAACAAAGCTAACGTTATTGTTTGTACATATCTTACAGGTACGTGCAGAAAGAGTATATCTTATAATATCAGGAATAGACAAGTACGGTAATTCCTACCAATAATAACCCTAGTAAAGGACCGTTCCTCTCCATTATCTTCTTGGTACACCATGCTGACAAAAGCTCTGTTGGCAGCTGGCTTCCCCACTGGAGCTCCATGGATTAGATCCTTCAGAGTCTTAACACGCAGGTTACTGGTCTTTTCTGCCAACACAAAGCTGATGGCATCCATAAGGTTGGACTTGCCTAAAATAATGGAGATGAGATTAGCCGTTAGGTATCCACATCATACATGGATTAACTTTTAATTATACGTTTTATTTATCTTATATTAGGACATAAAAAGTTAGAATCTTGAATAGCTGCTGCCCCCTTCAAATGACACTCTTGTGCGTGAAATTGTGTTTGAAACTTAGAAAAATTCATGTTTTTTAAAAAGGTTTCTATCTAGAATTACTGAGCAGTGGTTTCTTAAGACAAAAAAAGGCCTTGGTGAAAGGCCATTAGACTTGCTATTGTTAAAACGGTCCATTTCGTACATTACTGAATGTGTGACAAGCATTTGATATTATTTAACAAAAAATAATTGTATTATATACCCAATCAAACTTAAAAAATCACAATCGGAGGTATCCAACACTTAAATGTCTATATAGAAAAGTGTAGTCTTAAACTAAAGATGGAAAATTTTTATCTCTGATCAAGCACAATGCATTGATTTTGTAATTAATAACCACGAGAACAGTGGCTCAATATATAGCGATGCAATAACAATGCATTTGCTGAAACATGATGCGCTTACAATATATTACAAATTTGACATTCCAGGTGCATAGCTGCCTAAAGTAAAATCTGCAAAACGACTGTTTACCGTTAGCCCATCCTAGCAAACAGTATGCATTTTGCCTTAGCCCTCTTAATCATAACATACCCGATCCATTGGGTCCGATGATTGCCGTAAACTTGTGAAACGGTCCGATGATTTGTCTTCCCTTGTATGACTTGAAGTTTTCTATCTCTATTAGCTTTAAATAGCCCATCTCCGTTGTTTATGTGCAACTGTTTGAAGGAAAATCTGCACAGACAATGTTAAACAGTTAGCTAAAATGCTAGCAGCCAGTCTGCAGCGAGCAACCCTGGTATACAAAGACGAATTACGCTCGTAAATGAAATAACGCTCCCACTCAATCTGTAGCTGACTTGCACGTGGGTTACATTATGAGTTCAGCGCAAAGTTACTTGAGAAAAAGAGCGTAAACGAATCTTCAAAAGAAAATCAGAAAGCTTGTATCAACGGAGCGCCATTTTACAATGTAACAGGAAAACCTTGAGCGCGCGAGAGCAAAAAATCACGCATTTTCTCGCGAGACAAAATTGGACATGTCTTAACCGTCGCCAGTTACATTTGAAATGTACAAATGTTTGTATGTTTGCTTGAAAATGTTTATGATACAGTCTAAAGAATCTTTATCTTTTTTTAGTGTGGACACTATTTTCAGCGAGTGGCGTTATTACCCCCCCATGTAACTATTAAAGAGGTTGCTAGGGCAACCAAACATAACATGGTGATAGCAGCAAAGAGAACGTTTCACGAAAAGTAACATTTTTTTTAAATAGATATTACCTGAATTATATTTCCAACAGGTAAGAGTTTGGCACGTGTTAATTAGTTGTAGCTGTCTAATTTTTTTAATGTTATTTAAAGCATTTTGTAACAGCGCGTTTATAGACAGAGAATCCAAATAAGTGGAGGAAAGGAATTTCTTCTTAATCCGCTCTTTAGTTTACTAAGTGTTCTGAATTTATTGAGTATCTTTCATTCTAACTGCCTAGTGTCCCTAAATTTTGAATTTAAATGGTAACTTAACTCTGAGCCCTTTTTATAGTTCAAGTGATTAAATTAATAATATCTGCTTTAGTTCTTTATACTGATGTGAATGTGCTTGGATTGTCTGTTTCAGGTTAAAATCGAATACCTAAAGTCTAAAACATTGTATTAAAAAAAAAAAAACATCTCATATGACCTAATCTGAAACAATTTTACAAAACAATGTCTTTTAGTAGTCATGAACTAATTTTAGTAATTGATTAATCATTCACTAGCAAATAGCCACAGTTTGCTGTAAGAACAACCCGCTCAGCCAAATCTGTAGCAAACATATTTAAGATCAAAAAAAGTCTTTGCTGGTAAAACTCTACTCAGAATTCTTCAAGTTGCATTTTTGAAATTGAATTATTGTTGGGTTTTGTGTTTTTTCATGTTTTGTTTAGATTTATTTTTGTGTGGGGTTTTTTGTGTGCATGTTTTAGCCATTTATAAATACATCTAGACTTAGACAGATTTATTTGTCATTTTGTTTACAAAGTGTTAAACAAAAAGAAATTTCGTTTGGAACAGCTCTCTGGACAATTTCACCTTTTTTAAAAGTGCAGCCTTGAAAAATAGTTAAAAGAAAATACAAAATCTAAAAAGCTAATCAATTTTGACTTTTTATGTGAACATACTTAGAGTATCTCTTTTTGGATTGGTATATATAAAAATAAATTGCTAGTTTAATGATGACTTAAATGATTGATAGCCTCAGCCCCGATTCTATTAGTTTAATATCACTTATATGAAATCCATGCCTAAAGTAGATAATACCAAAAATTAATTGAACTTAGGAAGCGGTCGAGATGATAACGTCAAAGCATGACTAATTGGAAAACATGTAAAATTAATATTTAACTTTTTTTTTTATCACAAAACTTAGAGTTTTTTGTAAAGTAGCCTTTTGTAAAGTTTTGTAAAAATGTGCATTGAAACTATAAAAAATAAAACAGGTGAGGTTCACTGCCATAATGTTCACTGTAATCTACCACAACATAAAATAAACAAATAAACAAATTCTTGCTTTACTGCAAGAAGCATAGCACTTATTTTTTTAAACAAAGTTAAATGACATTCAGAGATTTTTGATGGAATGTTCTACAGCTGCGTAAAGTCAACATTCAGATAATGAGCCCAAGTAGATTAATCTTGTTATACTGTCTTTTTATCAAAAATATCACATCTTTAACTTGTTGAAGCTATTTTAAAAATGTCATGGTATGAAATAAATGGGGCTAAAATATTTTTGTATATATTTTGTTTTTACATAAGAACCATTATACAACAATATTTTCTCAAAGTAGCATTATAGTATGTATCACAGACGGTCATATCAGCTTACCAGTTTCTTATTTGCATGTTTTTAGAGTTTGTGAAGTTAATTAAACCAGGATGCTCCGAAAATAGTGTTCTCAATGCCATTTTCTTATTCTTGAGAACTGAAATATACCTTTGTAAAATATTTCCAGGGACTTCCATTATGTTATTTCCTGACATAATCATATGGGAGCTCAATTATTGCCTTAAAAATGTTTTTGTCTCCACAGAACCTGGCTAGAAACTGTAAATATGTTTAAAGCAGATTTGACTTTGGATCAGCAAGAAGAGAAGACTTTGGAGGCCCGAAGGTCTGCAGAAAGAGCACGCAAAGCCCGGATATACAACACTCGTCTGCGTGTGATGGGACTCGACCTGGAGGCCCTGAACCAGCAAGTCCAGGAAAAGAAACACAGACAAAACTTGGAGAAGCAACGAGACAAGGCTTTTGGTAATTTAGGAGTTATTTCTCATATTTTACAATGATAAATAGTATTTTGTTAATAATAAATGTCGATCATAATGAATTTTAACTTAAATAGATGCAATGAGAAGGAGGCAAGATGAAGAACTTATTCAGCAGGACAGCAATGAGAAAGAGAAGCGAAAAGCTTTGCACAGGGACCTGACCCAGCACTGGGCATCACAGCAGCAAGCAGAGCACTGTCGCGATGACGACCTGAAGGGGGCGTTCAACATTACAATTCCAGAATCAGAGCTGGGACCTGCCAGCATGCAAACGTTTAAGGTAAGACTGGAACTGTGTCCATAAAGGAACAAAAGTGGTAAATCCAGAAAAAGTTGAATTTTAGGTGAGGACTTTTGTTCTTTTTCTTGTAATTTACAGGGAGAAGGTGTCGGAGAGGACCAGAGGGAGCAAAGAAGAAAAACAGAAAGAGATTTGCAAGCCCAGATGGATGAAAATAAACGAAGGGAGATGAGAGCAAAGCACAAAGGTGAGAAGAGGCATACAAACACTTCCACGCAGCTGCTATAAATGAAACATATGCTTCATGGTTTTCCCAATCATATCCTCCCACACACATTCTTCTCTGCCAGGTGAAATTAATTCTTCTCCCCAAATGCTGCAGTCTCTGTGTCTGGCTGGAGAATGTTGTTCACTGGGTATTGACTAATGCAGCTGTACACATACACACATTTCTATGTTGCACAGAGATACTAGTAAACAAGGACCTGGTGCATCAAGACTTAAGGGGGCTTCAGCAGGCTGCACTGGAGGAGGATCGTAAGAAAGCTGCCCGCATAGCGCTTGACAACTACAATCAAGCCCTGGTATGTGTAAAGCATTAATGCTCCCACTTCCTTCAAAGTGAATGAAGCCAAAGCCAGTGGGAATTTTAAGCTGTGACAGTGTTCCCAGCTGGGACTTTCAAGTTAGAATTACAAACTAAGAATGTTAAGTGATGCATACACACACACTTTACAAAGGGGGGAGGCAGTCGCATTGTATGGTAGCAACCAACATGGAGGGATAATCTAATATGATGTATGCATGGAATTGGTTGTTCTTTGAAAGCCCCCTCTTAGTTCTTCCCCCATTAGGCTGAGGACTCTTGTCCCCATTCCCCATTGAGTGAAATTCTTGTAAATAATTCAGGTCATGGCATTTTTCATGACAATTATGTAGTTTTCCTAATAACCATCCAAGTGGATCATGCAAAAGCAAATTGAACCTCTTGAGTAGACCACTCAGGAGGAAATGCATCATACTGGTGTGTGTCAATAAATTGGAATATCATCAAAACAATTGATTTAATAATTGAACCTACAAAGAGAAACATATTTTTTATTTTCATCCAGATTGAAAATTCTGGTAAATTCTGACGATTCTATGCTATATGCTATAAAACCATACTGATGAACAAATATGACATCTTTTCTCTGTTGAATCAGTAGCTACAGACCTATATAAATAACATAATCTTTGTCCTTTAGATTAATTTAAGAAGAGTGGGAAGAAAGCTTCTTGGAAGGGTTTGCTATTGCTGAGCAGCACCATGCAAGCCTTACATCTCCAAGTGCAATACAATGTTTTAGATACAAGGATGTAAAGCACAGAGGATATGTGTTTTCTGGAGTGACAAATGATATCACTGAAGCTGTTAAGAGCTGCATGTGGCTCTGGCAATCAGGTTAATATGTGTGTGAATATTTTGGTAAATAATTAAACACAGTTAAAAATAACACTTATATGCTTATATTAAGTACATTTTAAAAGGTTGGGGTTGTCATGTTTGTTTTTGGAGAGAAGGGGTTATTATAAATGAGAGTCCTCTGAGTCAGGGCTGAGACCTCACCATATGTTGCTCCACACACAGGCTGCAGAGCGAGCTGAGTTCTTCAAGGAGCAGCACAGGAGAGAGGAGAGAGAGAACCTGGAAGAAATGTGGCACACCGCAACATCTGACATGATGACTGAGTGTCCAGAGCAAGCAGAGAGATTTGTGGGAGGAGGGAGGCCACCACAGATTTTGCCAGACAGGTGGAAGGGGATGAGCCCAGAGCACCTCAGCCTTTTCCACAGAGAGAGAGAGCAACAGTGCCTTGAGAGACAGGTACTGCTGGAGTCCCGGTTTTATGTTTTCACTTCCATAAATGCTTGAATCTTTGTACAGGCATCACACAGCATGTCTGGAGGTAAGAAACTTGATACATCGCCAGAACTGAAAACTTATGTTTAAATTGAAAAGTTTTACTCGAAAACCAAGTTAAAAAAGGAAGTGCTTGAAATTGCATCCCTTTTTATGTATGTGTTTGGTACAACTGAGCTATCATTAACACAGACACCATATGCACATACTAGCTCATTTTGTCTGTCATGCTGTAAGAATATTAATATTAAGACTTAAGACCTGACATTCCCCTGCACATTACATGCTGATGTCTATTCATACATTTCCACAGAGAAATAAAAGAAATATGCTTTTACAGATGACTCATAACAAATGACAGGATAAGACAGATACACACATGAAAGACAACTATGGACACACACTTATACCTGAGAGCACTTTAGAGCATCCAGTTATTAAAACAGGCTTCTTCTTTGGAGTGTGGTGGAAGCAGGAACTCTTGAAAAAATACATGAATCAAATGAGAGAACATGCAAATATTTTTTTTAAAAATCAGGCTTAAAATCACTGCATTACACCAACAGTTCAAACGCATAACGTACAACGAATGCCACATTTGTCCTTTTTGTGTTTTCAGAGAAAACTTGGGGCTGAGCAGATTAAAAATAAAACCTGGGACCTGCATCTCCTGAAACTAGCCAAAGAAGCAGAGGAAAAGGAGCAGAAAATTGTAGAATTAAGGAGGGAGAAGAGAATGCAACTGGACCAATACAATAAGCTGCTGGCCAGGGAGCAGCAGGCAAAGTAAGCCCCACACACATACACAGTATCAGTTTATTTCCCTGTAAATGAATTAATACTGTGAAATTTCTAATATGGCATTTCTTTACGTTTTTTACTTATTCCGCATACATATCTGTCTCTATTCTAGTCAGGATTATCTGGAAAAGGAGCTCTACACCAGCAAACCCACCAAGGACTACTTTTACCAGTTTAACACTAGTTCCCGCTGAACCACTCCCACCACAGGCTTGTCAAAAATGTACTTATATCATTAAAGAATTGTATTGTGTTGAACATACAAGTTTATGCTGTTGTTGATGCACCTACTGCTATATATTACGAATAATAAAATATTCAACAATCGGGAGTGCAATCATTTTATTTTATATATTGCAAAGATAGCTGAGGTGCTGCCTTAAGGTGTTGGCTTCAATATGGCAACGAAAAGAAGAAAGTTTATGAGTAAAGAATTATATTTGACTTTTGAAATATAAAAAAGGAAACCTCTAAAAATAGATCTATATGTTTTACTGAATAGATTCTTGTGTAGTTTTATGCTCTGTCACCATTCCAATGAAATTGGAATTTTTTCACTTATCTTTTATATATTCTACAAATTGATAGATCGTCTGTGCGGTAAAAAATGCATTTCCTCCCTTATTGATTAACTATAAATACGATTTTTGGTCTTACATAAATATTTGAGATCATCAATCAAATTTTAATATGCACAGCAGCAGACTTGCTCAAAGGAGTTTGAACCATTTTCAAATTTAATTAAATTGCGTAAAGTAAATGTGGTGGAGAGGTACCAGCTGGCTGTGGGAGACGGTTCATAGGAAGCGGTTCAACAAGCCTTATGTATGTATGTTCTCATGTGCAGTGCTTTGAATTGCCTTGCCACTAAAATATGCTATGTAAACAAACTTAGTTTACATTATATGGACAAAAAATAGATCATTTGTATTACAGATTGTTCAAGGTTTTTTTATTTGTCAGCCATATATCCAGTTACAGTGGTAGATTAAGTAAGCAGTTACAGTTACATCAGCCCCACTCACGGTGCCTGTCCTCTCAACCACTGTCGAACTCCCCAGGTACATGTAGGCATCATCACTGCTCAAACCAACACACCAACAAGAGGCACACACAACATCCCCTTCCACATCTCACCTTTTTTTCTCTCATCTCCACTCAGCCATTATTTTAATCTGTCAGTTTTTAAATTTAGAGAAGCCTAATTTAAACCAACCGGCTCTTTTTTTTTTTCAACGATTAAACTGTTTTGCAATAAAAAGAAAAAAATAAATCAGTAAGACTAGTGATAAAGCATTGGACAGCATCCCATTTGGATATCTCTAGAAACATGAAAAGCAAAGACTGAGTGGCAGTCAAGTGAGTATCTGTGTGTGTACACTCATCCCACATTCAAAGATAACATTTGCCCCAAACATTGACAAACACAGAGGTTCAGCAGCACATTGTTGTGTTAGGATATTGGCAAGTTTTGTGTAGGTTGCTGCTCCTGTATGAAAATAGAGTTTTATTTGTCCTGAGTGTGTCTGTTTGACCTAAACCAAGGAGAGTTTAATCACCTCCTTTTGGTGCCTCTGGCATTTTTACATATCCCCTATACTCCCTTAGAGGCTGTCATGATATGTTTGGCCAGTGGAAAGATTCAATTTCAATTGGTAGGGCACTGGTTGGCTTACTGCATTCCTGCCTGACATAACTGCATCACAGATATTCACTGCACTGCAACACATTGGTGAAGGATCAGGTGCATGACTCGGAACTTAGCTCTCAGTGTGGTGTATCTACTTTCACTAAATGACACGAAATGTACACATTTCTTGATATTAAAAAATGACATGTTTGCAAACATCTACAGAACAATGGGCTTTTTTTTTTTTTTTTATCTTTTTTGTTCTTCAGCTATGAACTATTTCGCTACACCCAAGACTTACTGCAGTCGTTTGTCAAAAACACACTGTTTGAATTCATAACAACAGTACAAGAGAAGAAAATTATCAACTCAGAACATTTCAGAATAAAGTCGGGTGTGCTAGAAAACTGCTTTTTTCTTATATTTTTTTTTATCAAATGTGGTTCCTTTGAAGGGTTCTATTTACATTTGGTGAAAAAATGGTCCTTTCTACATCACTTAAAACATTTCTTATCTTTTCAGAGTCGTGTTGCTCAGAATGAAAAAACAGAAATGCCATATTTACCTCGTCCAGAAAAGAATACATTCTCTTATGTAAATATGCCTTTATCATACATTATCTGGCTGTCATAAAGCCTGTCTGCAAAATCCAGCTTGGTCTGATAAAGGTAACAAATACTGCTTCTCAATCAAATTGAACTGTATGAGATGGATAGGTATGGAAATGTCAATTAAACTCAACTATGTTTTAATGCAGAGTAGAAAGAGATAAAGACAGTTACATAAAGCTACACATAGGTCTCGACACAGAAAATGTTACTGTTCAATATGAAATTAAAGGACATTACACTTGTTAGTGGGAAGGCGAGACTGTGATGACATCAATCTGGCGCTTTATGCAGACCCAGCAGGCACAGGAACTTATATGAAGCATTTACATATCTATAATACTGTATTATGGCTGAATAGATAAATGCAGATGCAGCTATGTACATCAGGTGCTACTCAACATTTTTACACAGCAGGTATTACACTGAAACCTGACTGTATGCATTGATTTAAAAAAAAAACACAAACACAACTCATAAAATGCCATGACAGGTCAGGACCTGAATATGAAAATAATTACAAATAAAAATACCAAAGAAAAGAACAATTTTGTGTTCCGTCACAGTTATAAAAGATGTCAAATATTATCAGAAAGGACAATCTGATGCATTCGGTAACACAGGAAATACACTTTCATAAAAAATAATATGTAAACATTTAGATTTAAATCTACTGTAACTTGCAAAAGTATTCAAACCCCTTGATTCTTTTTGTATTTTTTCTAACTGCAATCAGTTATTTTCCAGATCTGATTACTTATTCTGTTCCTATGAACCCAATAGAATAAACTTCATTAATAAACCCTATTGCTTGTGTTTGTGGCAAATATTAGTAAACAGACACTTTCGTGCAGAGCAAGAAGCGTAAAGGTCAGGGATGTAGTTAATGAACCAATCGTAACAGAAGTAGCTGTTTTATCCACAGGTCAGATAGAAGTATTAAAACATGACGGCTAACCTTCATACACTTCACTAACGGACCCCTTTAGAAGTCAGTAAGCTGTAGTTCAAAGAGGTATAGTCACATTATATGCCAATAAAAAACCCAAAAACTTTTGATCATGATAAAATATGATTATATACGCCAAGAGTCCATCCTGATAGTGTTTTGAGCGTCCTTTTTTAGCTTAAATAGAGTTCCAGCATTGGCCATGATGATTAGAAATAAATATAGATATGTGCGGCATCTTCCGGGAAGCACAGTGAACTATAAAAAAGGCAGGTGGTGATTGACGCAACTACTTAAAAGCGTGCTTTTACACTGAATGCAGTATAGCTGTGGTGCTGGTATGCCTCAGAAAGTCACTGACACTGCACATTATAACTAGGCTGTCCCAGCTGCAGCTCCAGCTGCAGAAACTGGTACTCATGGGTGTACCCTGTTTCTTGGAGTTTTCGGGCAAAACTTTTTTTTGTTTCGCCTTTTTTGTTTTGGCTACTCAAATGCAATGCAGGAGCTTGATGAAGAGACCCCTAGGATGTCTGGCCAAGCTACGTTTTTGCAAAAAGACTGTTGATCTGCACGGCTTTGGTAACCGCACCCAGACTGTACCGTGACTTAAGTAAACAGCGCATCAATTTGAATTATTTGGGTTCCTTGCGCCACCCGCACCACAGCTATACCGCAGCTGCCAGTGTGAGCCCAGCGTAATAGAGCCCAACCCTCCTGCAATGTCTCACTGTAAAAGAATAGCTTGGCGTGGTCAGAGAAGCACAGATATTCATTAAATTACCTGATGTACAGCAACTTTATGTACTACTGAATTCTTCCTTAAGCCTTCTACTATAACAGCAACGGAAAAGACAGAGCAAGGTAAGAAATATCTCAAATAAATAAGGTTATGAGCTAAAACCTTGTCATTGGAATGCATGCCAATTAAAATAATTAAAATCCGATTTCCCCAGTAAAATGTTTTTAAAATGTCATATAATGTGACTATGCTCCATTAAGGAAAGCCGAAGTTTGCCACAATTTATGTGCCGGACACAACAAGCATGTAGAAACAAAGTGCTCTGGTGAGATGAAAACCAAATGTAACTTTTTTTTCTATCTGCAAAACTCTATGCATGAAGAGGAACCTTTAATGCCCATGAAAATTAACACACAATTCCCATTGTGACACAATGTGAGGGCAGCATCATGCTGTGATGATGTTTTTTTCAGCAGGGAAAAAAGTTGATAGGAAGGTGGATTGAAATAAATTGAGAACAAACCTGAAAAGATAAAACCAGTAGGAGGCTACAAAATAGTTAAGACCTGGTAAGATGTTCCCCTTCAAACAGGACAATGCTCTAAACTGCCACTACAATAGAATGGTTAATTTCAATTAACTTTTTTTTTTTTTTCAGAATGGGATAGTCAAAGTCCAGATCTAAATCAAATCAAAGTATAACATAAGATTAAAAAATCTGTGTTCAGTGTGGGCTGCATTGTGCCACTTTGTAGCACTGTTGCCTTGAAGCAAGATGTTGTGGGTTTGAACCCTGTCAACGGTCTTTCTTCATAAAGTTTGTATGTTTTCCCTGCACATGCATGAATTCTCTCTGGGTACTCCAGTTTCCTCCAACAGCATGACTGTTAGTCGGATTGGTTTTTAAAATGCACCCAGGTGTAAGGGTCAACAGAAATGCTCTGCACCGCATCAGAACGAGTTTGGGGTATTCTACTAAAAAAGAATTATTGAAAATTGACAAAGTCCCAAATAACTTGTAGCCGTAGTTGCCAGCGATGGTTATTTAAAGTATTTTTATATGAGGGCTTAATGGGCAATATACCCAGCTTCACTATTTTCTGAACTTTGACCAGCTCCTTTGTTCCATGTCTTTTATTACTAGACATACTGATCAATCCAGCTGCGTCATAGTTACCGAGGTAGCATGTCCAGTGATGAAAGTTTAGGAACTAGTGAAGTTAGGCATATAGCCTGTTGATATGCAAGTCATGCTTTTCTGATTTTGTATACAAAAAGTCCTTTCCCTCCATAATTATGTGATGAACATATTGTTCTGTACAAAATGTTTGTTTACAATACATGTTTGTAATTAAAACAGGATGGATTTAAAAATTCAAGGGTTGTAAATATTTTTACAAGGTACTGTATGCTGTCTGTTTCCCCACGCTGTGCTCCATCATTATCCTCCACATTTACTTAATGCACTTTTCTGCATCTCTGTGACCACACCTCGAACCCCTGATATTTCATGATATGCAACATTCTGTCTATATGTTTCTGTTGTTTAAAGTAAAAAGAGGAAAAGGGTTCGAATAAACAAAAGCTGTTTGAATTAACTGTAAGCTATTCAAAAAAGTTGGATGGAACGATTGGTGTCACATGGTCCACTACTTTGGACTCTCCTTTGGTCACAAATGTCTAATCATTCGGATGACTGCCAGAGGGCATATAAAAAGTCTGTATATGATTGTGCACTGGACCTTAAAATAAACATCAGCAAGTCAGAAGGGGAACAGGACAGTATGGGCACATACGTGTTGACATTTTGGTCTGATGGTCTCTGGTGGGAGTTAATCAAGGATGGTGATTGAATTGGGCATGCCATTAGTGGTTGGGGCCATGGTAGTGGGATTCAGTGGGGAGTTGTCCGGCACGCCACGGAATCCTTCTGGACCTTCACTCGGACGACTGATCTGGCTAGCCAAAGATTCATCCAGGTTGAGCTCTGTGGTGAGAGCACTGCTGCCAAAGTTCAGGGTGTCCTCGCTGCACATCTTGTTGTCTTCACACAAAGACGGCTGGCTGGCGGTTTGCTTCTCTTCAAGATCACTAATGCAAAGACAACATAAAACAAAGAAATTCACTAAAAGCATGAAACAACATTGGTGAAGAAAGACAATCAGTAACACTGAAAGATTTCATAGAATGGTAACCTTACAAAACCATAAAAGAAGCCGATGCTTCACTTCATACCCCTAAATTATTAACCTCTATTAAGTCTTAATTTCTAAGATTTCCCTTCCAAACAAGTACACAAAGAAGACAACTTAGGAAGCAACAAGGGATGAGAATTAGGTAGGTGAAACAAAACTCCATACCTTTCCAGAGATCTGCAAAGCAGAGGCAGGCAATAGAGGGAATAAAGGAACAAAGGGGGTTAGCAAAACAGAACAAGGCAGGGGATTCAGGACTGTGATCTGACATTCCGCAAAACCCAAAGAGAAATTTACATGACAAACCTGTACTCTCCAAATGTTTCCTCTTTCATCGGTCTTGCTTCTGAGTCCATTGGACCATCCTCTTTATCTTTCACTGAGGAAGAGACAGATCATTCGATTTTATTTCCATTACAATTCTAATGAATTATGTCAAGATTCTGTTTTAGACATCAATAGCAGTATTCTGTCAAACGTGCAAGATAGCTTTGAGTAAGTGTTCAAAGAACAAAGATTGGGATCATCTTCAGAAACTTTTATATGAACATTTAACTTAGATCCTTTATTGGGTTCTCTATGATACAACACCCACCATTTTTGACATTTCTATTCAGAGTCCAAATATTTTATATAATATTGTTATATGAAGCTAAAAAAAAAATGTTTGGAGGTTGTATTCTTAAAATGAAATATCCCACTCTTTTAATAAATATCCCGTTGAGAATTTCGATGAGAAAAAATTTTCCAGTCATCATCAGGTTATTTACAAGCATCTTTTTCAGTTCAACATGGTCTAAAGCTATACTTGCCTGAGTATTTCCCTCCTTTACTCCTCTTGATGAAGCAGAGGATGAGTAGTATTAACAACAGCAACACAAGGGCACTCACAACACCAATAAACCAGCCCTGCGTTGCAATGCTCGCCTGCACCTCTGTCATTTCTAGTTAAAGAAAGCACATTAAGAGGGAGAAAAACAAGACAGAAGTTTTTTATTTCTCTTTACAAAACCAAATAAGTCAAGAAGAAAAGGAATCAAGAAAGACGCATGATTAACGAAGGAGCAGAATCTGGTGCGCACGAGGAGGAGCATTATGCATGCTAACAAGGTTGCATTTTACCAGGGAAACATGGCACCCACCAAACAAACATTATTGGATCAATGTAAACGGCTAACCAAGTCTCCTCTGACAAAAGTCTTTAAAACCACTTTGCAGACTGAAAGAACAGCAAGGTGCTTATAGAGGCAGTCTTATCTATAGTGTGGTGAGGCCCAGAGGAGTGAAGCTGGGAGATGAAAGAGGAGAAGTTGAATGAAGGCAAGGCTCTACCTTCTCCCTCTGTCTTAATGTCAGTCTCCCAGAATGATGCGTTTCCGTAGAAGAAGCGCAGAAGATAATCAGAGCCAGGATTCAGGCCCCGAAGCTGGTAAAAAGTCTGAGAAGAGTTCACCTTCTCCGACTTTTTCCAGTTTACACCACCTGTACAGGCACAACATGAGCCTAAGTAGCTGTTCAAGATCCGAACATGAAGACCTGATTGTTGTAAAGTTAGGTGTGTTTATTTCATACCATTCTTTTTGAGGTAGTGGATGTAGAAACCCACATTTCTGTGTCTCCTCTTGGCTTCCCAGCTCACATTTACAGAGTTTTCTCCCACAGATAGGCTTATATCCGAGGGAGGCACTGCAGAAAAAGATAAATTAGGATTAGTATTAGAATTATAGATTACATGCATGTAATTTATAATAAATGAGTAATTTGATTTCAAAACTAGCCTGTCTTCCTTTTATATTTGTTGATCCTTGCATCAATAAAATGTTTGTCACTATGTATATTTGATCAAGTGAAAAGCTTTTCAATGTACTCTAGAGTTTAAGTACTCAATACTTGGTCAGGTTTCCTTTCGCATGAATTACTACATCAGTCAAAGAAGTCTAGGTTGCTATATTAGCGACCATTAGGTTGTCTTCATTGTTTGGTCTAGAGTCCCTCATCTTCTCCATACTTCATAGATTTTCTGTGGGGTTTGAGTCAGGCATGCTGGCTGGCCAATCATTCACATACACTTTAGCACCGCTGTTAAGATCTAAGTTCTCTTCTACAATTAAATCCGGCTCTCAAAAATCTCTCAGCAGACAAAAGCATTAAAGGATATGCATCAAGTATCTCTGTGTGTGGTTGTTCTTTGATTTCTGAGTCCAGGAAAACATCTGGTGAATCCATCCCAAACTTTTCAATGGTCTTTTCTCTGCAATCCTCTAAAGTTTCTTTGTTGTATCCTGATATATGAGTTTCAATTTTTGAATCAAATTACTGACAAAAGTCTACTAAATTGACTGTAATAAACATGTAATTGCAATAACAGGAAGTAGAGTGTTACCTCCATCTAGTGTGGTGGCGCCCGTCATAATGATGGGCTCTCCCTTCCCAGCTTTAGTGAGCCCCCTCAGAAAGAAGCGATACTGGCTGTGACGGTCCAGACCTTTCAGGGTATAGTGGGTGGCTGTGGGGTTGTCTATCTCATCCTTCTGTAAGGGGCTGTCATCGCTCTCTGTAACTGATTGCAGCAGATTCCAAAACTATTCATTACCGGTGACAAAGGGCTGATTGATCCACATGCTTGAGATGTTGTGGCATTTTAAGGGTTTCATTGATTTATCTTGAACTGTGCAGTTGTGCATGTTTCATTTTATGGACAGAAGAGTTCATGGTTGTAACAGATGCAATATAACATATGCTTACTTCGCTGGTACTGCAGCAGGTATCCTGTCAGTATACCATTTGGGTGGGCCGGAGGCGTCCAGTGAAGGGCCATTTCTGTCTCTGATGGGCTGTCAAGGAGCAGGGATGTGGGAGGACTGGGTACTGGCAGCCACAGAAGGACACATGATTGCAAAGTGCTTTTTTAAAAGGATTAATTTATTTTATATATATTTTTTTTTAAGGCCACATATCTGCTTCTAAATACAGCTTTGTTGCCCATCCCCTCTCCACCCACTGTCTCTTATGCTCACCTCCCTCCTCAGTGTTGAAGGGCAGCGGCTCAGAGTGGGGTCCTTCCCCCCTTTTGTTGAAAACGGCGACGGACAGGAGGTAGCGGGAGTATGGTCTAAGTTTACTGATCAGCTTTGTTTCTTCATTAGGACCAGTCTCCTCTACCACAGTGCTCTCAGCCTCCCTGGATCTCCGGCCACGGTGGTGACCCCTGTAGCCCTTTCTGGTGAGGTGTACCTGGTGCCACAAAATTAATCAAAGAGATTCAAGGAATGGGTTATTTTCAGAGAAAGTATTTTGAAAAGCACTGAATGAGGAAGATTTTTGCTGATTTTAAGTGGGGATAAAAAATTTAGGAACCCAGAAGAAGATGTAGAAGCACCTTATATCCCAGCAGGTGTCCTCTGACTGTGTTTCTGTCTATAGCTGCCCAGGTCACTCTGATCGTAGTGCTGTTAAGTACTGCGACTCCCACATCCATTGGAGCTTCCAGGGGAACTATGAGAAAGTGGAAAGGAAAACATTGCAAGATAAGCATTACTGTTCGTCATAAGAAATATTCAAATATATTCAAGGAATATGAAGACCTTTTCAGAGCACTCTAAGTGAGTTGTGTCTTTTTATCAATTTACCATCCTCCCCTGAGTAGCCAATAACAGGGTCTGGCTCCGGTCCATCACCATTCGCATTAATGGCCTGAACTTTTATCTCAAAAGCGGAAAAATTGCCAACGTCAGGAACGATGACTGGAGGCTCGGTTGTCTCTCTCTCCTGCCACTTTGGTCCGCTGCCCAGTACACGCCTCCACTGTACCTTGTACTTGAAATCAGGTCCATTGAAGTTACGTTTGTCCATTTTCTACAAGAAAGAAAATAGAAGGCAATGAAAACAGAAACAAAACCTTGTTTGATAATGGTTTTTAAGTGTTAGCACTCTCAGGTATTAGATGTACCTCCCAGGTGATGAGGAGGGTGTCTGGGTCTATAGAGTCGCTCCTGACATCTTCTGGGTTATTCTCCGGAGCTGTGTTGAGGTTAAAAACAATAATTAGCTGGAGTTTATATTTAATTTAATCCAAACCTTTTTTTTTTTTCACACAGTTTGTTTTTTCTCACCTTCAGCTGGTGTGCTGTGGATTTCAGAGGGCTTGCTAGGGTCACTTTTCCCTACTTCATTAATGGCTGTGACCCGAAAACGGTAGGACATGTACGGCCAGAGGGAGAGGACGGCATGCTCCTGGTTGCCTCCTACTCTCTTCAGCTCTTCCCAGCCCCTCTCCTTTAAATCTTGGTCTTCAAACTCAATTATATACTCTGTGGAGATACAGCCTTTCAGGGCAAACTCTTAATAATTGGAGAATCTGAGCAGGCTAAACAAGCAAACTTTCCATCAGTTTTCTAAGCCCTCCAGAGACAAGTCATTAAAACAATGGCTGAAGTCTTGGTAGAAAGATGACCTACGAATAGATTCAGGATATTGTAAGATAAAGATTAAGCTTAAAGTGCTGCCCACATGGACTGGATCTCAAAAGGAATTCCTATCTGAAAGAAAGACAGAAAACAGTGCTGATGTTTTATGTTGGTACTATACCTAAAACAGCGCTCTTGTGGTCGTCTCCAGGAGTCCAGCTGAGAGAGACTGCACGATGCTTGGGATCAGAGATCTGGAGGAGGCCTGGAGGGTCTGGACGGTCTGTAGAAAAAAAGCAGTAATGTTATTATCAGTTTGCCTGTCTATAAAATCAATTTATTTAAACTTAACATATGGGCACATCTATTATTCGTAGGCCTATGTCTGTGTATGATTTCAAACTTGCTGCTTTGTGATCTCACCACATATAGTCAGAGTAGCGCTGGCTTCAGCCTGGTCCAGGGAGGAGATGATCTGGCAGGTATAAATGCCCTCATCATCTGGTTCCACGTTAGCGATTATCAAGTCTGCACCATCAAATGTGTATCTGGCAAAATGTAGCCATCATTGTTATTCTTATCTCCATATCCCTTAAAAATTGACTGATTATCATGACATCTTAAGGTGTATTGTTGGACATATTCATATGATCTTAACTATCTTAAGGTTTTATTAGGATTTTCATGTAACAAACAAACAGAACGTAGCATCTTAACAAAACAAAACAAAAACCTCCCTACAGCCAACCCTGAGAAAATGCTCTTTAGAACCCCTTTTGGCTGCAGCTAAAGTTGTGCACTCTGCTAATGACTGAAATCCTTGACCACTGTTTATTTTTAAAATAGCTCCAGCTCAGTCAGGTGGGACAGAGCAATTCTATTAATATACATTTTCAAGTCTTGTCACAGATTCTGAATTAAATTCAAAGCATTGTGTTTTAACTCTAACTATGGTTAGGGTTTTTCTTCTGCTGGAAGGTAAACCCTCCTAATCTGAAGTCTTTTACAGCCACTAACTTTCTTTTCTATAAAATAACCTCATATTTAGCTCATCTCACCAGTGGTTGTTTCTGCTGAAGAAGAATCCCAAAGAAGGATATTACCATTACCAAATTTCCCACTGAGGATGGCCACCTTAAGTAAATTAAGGATGCAATATTATTTTTACCCACAGTCACTTTAGGTGCCTTTGAGATGTTGCAGATGTGTTATACATATTATTTTCACTTTCATATAATAGATTGCCCTGTACTGTGCTATTTATGGGTATTCTTTTCTCTTTCTACATACACACTAATCGGCTTTGGTCACACAAATCCCAATCAGTAATCATAGTTCATGGCTGTTACTAACTAAAGTAAAGTAAAATTGTACCCTAATAAAAGTTTCTGTGAGGCATCTCTTCTAAACTATTTCCATTGCATCAGTAGCAGAGTTTAAGAAGAGTTTTGATTTTGAAGATGAAAACAGTTCTTGATTCTTTATTAGTCTTGTTGACAAATCCTAGTTGACATTAGCCAAGATCTCTAAAAAGTAGATTTCCAGTCTCACTTTTCATCACTGAAGGATTCCATCAGCTTCTGGTTGTTCTTTCGCCACTGAATTTGAGGAAGCCTCAGATTGGTATCATAAAGGCCCACACATGTGAAGATCGCTTTGGTCCCTGGCTGTACCTTCAGGTCCTTGGGTGGTGTGAGGATCACTGTCCTGTCTAGAAGTGAAAGTGAGGAAATAGAGAAATTAAGCCCAGTCAAGCTGCAGGATGTTGAAATGACATGAAAAACAGAGAGATGACTGTGTGTGGCTGTGTAAATGTGTGTCTGACTTACTGAACACCTCCAGTTCAGCTGTGATTGACACGTTGGCATTTTGAACTGAGCAGGTGTAGGAACCTTCATCGTCGTGGCTGACATTAAAGATCTGTAGCCCCCCATTGGTGAGCCGGTTAACTCTGGGATCAGCAAGAAGGTACTGTTCCCCTCTTTCCCTGAACACATCAGAAAACTGCCAAGCTGAGTACAAAATTAGGCCTTTCAGCTTCTCTAATTCGCCAGTTTATACACCACTTTGCCTGTTTTACATTTAAAAAAAAAGCCAGGTTGGATATGTGCCTGGATAACAGATTTCACAGTCACAGCCCAGATGTAACAACATTAGGCTGTTAATTTATGCATATGAAGAGCTGCCTAAGCAATAGCATCAACTTTGTGGAAATGAGATATAAAAACCCACTAATAAGCTGAAATAAATCAGTAGGAATTTGCCTTACCATGTGACTGTGGGTTTAGGAGAGCCAAAGGTCTCACACTCCAGGGAAACACTCTGGCCTTCAGTAACAGAGTACAGTTTCCTGTCCTCTGTAACAATCTGTGGAGGGATTTCTGAAGGAAAACACAGAAACTTGCCAAATTATAAAGGTACATAAATAAACATGTTTTCAAATAAAGCAATTGTGTGTCAGTTTATTTGTTGAACTATATGTTAAGCTTTTAAGCCCAATGTTAACTCTTTATATAAGTAATACTTCTTATTTCAAATTTTAGTATTCTCTCAATCTCATTTATTACTTTTCTTACTATTTTTCCGTATGTTGTTTTTATCATTATTTAGGGTCACTTATGTTTTACTTCATTTTGTTACTTTATTTTCTATTGTACTAAGAGCTCATGAATAAACCCTATTAGAATAAAACACATAGTTAATTATTTTGGATTGTTTGCTTTTTTTCCCCCTTAACAACCTAATGAAACAGATTTCTTGTTTTTTAAATGGGTATAATTTAGTTAGATATGTCAAATACTAAAATTGTTTAGTGATTTAAAAGCTTTTATTGTGATGATAAAAAGTGAAAACTTAAAGCTGCAGTGGGGGGGGGGGGGGATTCAGCGTGTGTGAGCTGTGATTGACACTCCATCAGACGCTCCTCTGGCTGTGATTGGTTGTTTTGACTCGTCCCGAATTATTCTTTCCAGAGTGAAATACAGGCAGTAGGTGGTACCAATTGAAGCAGTTTTTTTCACAGGTTACATATCACATATACTGCTGTCTGGGCATAGGGACAGTTTTAGCCAATATGACAAAAAAGTGATTTTTAAAAACTTACAGACTTCAGCTTTAACAGTTGCACTGGTAAGTCAGTTCTCAACTACTGCATTTTATTTTTGCATGTGTGGCAAGCACAAAGATGCACACACTGAAAATACAGATGAAGTGACAAAAAGAAAGATTAAATACTCACCGATGACATATACATGGGTATTGGTGAGGATGGTGCCATGTTTGTTGGAGGCCTGGCACTGATAGACAGCAGTGTCTCCAGAGTTGACACGGTTTAGGATCAGGGAACCATTTTCTGCTATTACAGCATTTCCAGAGTTGCTTCCTGTTAAGGTTTTACACATCTTACTATTTCTAAAAAGTAGAAGGATCTTTACTGCTAATTGGTTTACAATGGTAGATGCTCTGACCTGAGATTTTCTCCCCATTCTTTGTCCAGCTGATAGTAGGAGTGGGGGTGCCATCGGCTGCACAGTTTGGTCTTACAGTCTCACCTGGGGCATAGATCAGACTCTCTGGAATCTCTTTCCAATATGGCTTAGCTGTAAAAGATAAAACAATGCATTTTACAAAGTAAAGTCCCAATATATCAAATAATTTCCCTGCTTAGAGATTTTTTAGTCACATAAAAATTTAGTTAGGTGTTGGTGCATGGATGTATGGATGGATTGATGAATGGATAAATACAATAAACAGGTGGACTGATGGATGGATGCATGGAATCAATAAATGTCCTGTAGACCAGTTTATATTACCAGTTTAATCTGATGGAATCCTATATCTTACATTCACTTCTATGATGATTGGGATTTTGGGTAATAAAAAAAAAACCTGTATTCTAATTCTGTAGTCATATTTACACATTTGACAGACTGTGTAATGAATCTGTTTCATTTTTAAATTGCATCACTAAAAAAAAAAGTTTTCTGTTAGTTTGAGTTTATTGAGATACACCTTCCACCTAACAATATCAAAGCAAAGCGGCAAAGAATAATAATTTGGCTCTGCAGGCTCTCAAGTGTTCTTTGTTTCTGTAAAGGATAGAGTGAAACACACCTTCTACTTTCAGATGATAGGTGTGTTTGGCATTTCCTTGGGTGTTCTTGGCTATGCACTGGTACTCTCCGCTGTCACTTTCAGAGATGTTTTTGATTGTCAAGTGTCGGTCAAACATTGATTTGGTTGTCCGAGATTCATCAAGTTCCCCTTCCTTCTTCAGCCATGTTATTTCAGGAGTTGGACTTTAAAGGAGAAGAGTAAAAACAGCCAAAGTTAAGTACACACTGTAAAATTGCATATGTAAAAAAAAAAAGCAGATTTGGTCCAAAGGAAAGAGAAATGGAGGAGTTTGCAAATAGGAAGGGAAGGAGCTAAGTGAAAGGGAAGGAATTGGCAATGAGGCTAGAGCAAATGGAGTCCATAGTGGGATGGAAAAAGAACTTAGGGGCAGTAGTGATTGATTTAAAAGGGCGGCTTTTATTTTCCTCTTTAAAACGTGCATAGGTGCATAGGTTGGCACGCGTATATGAACATACTTACAGGCCTTGAGCAATGCACTCGAGTTTTATAGTCTGGCCCCTAAGGGCGTGGTACGTGCTTTCGCCTTCAGTAGGCCTCATCATGTGCGGTCTCCGATTCCGCACTACCGAATTGGCTGGACAAAGAGAAACGAAAATGCATTTAGATAAAGAGAAAAGCTCATGCATATGGATGGCCAATTTGCAGATAGCTGTGCTGCTGACACAGCAGCCTCTTAGGCTGTGCTTCTACGCCCTTGCAGCCAGAAGTAGGCTTCAGAGATTGCTGGAAAAAGTTTACCTCAATAACAACAGATGTAATCTTAAACACTGGGGTCCATGTTAACACATGTTCATCTCTCTGACCTCTAGTCAAGTCACAGATGTCTGCAGTGGCCCCTCAGAGTAAGCCGCATGTTATTAGAACTGGGCAAAGAAGTTCCCTGCTGACCACAGGTTACGCAGGAGATTTAGTAGAGCTTTTGGTAAGGGGTGCATCCCACCAAACACAAAAGCAAAACTTTATTTTAATGTTTTTATTGGATACTTATTTAGAAATACACAAATATAGGACTAGAGGGTTTACCTAAAGACCATCAGCGCATGAAATATGGGAAACCATTGCAATAAGCAGCAAAGTCAACAACTCAATGTGTAGGAAAACTGTTCCCAACAACCTCAATAAGTTGTTACATTCATGCTGATTTTGCACATCCCTAATGTTGCTGTTATTTTCAAATATACATTACTGTAAAAATGTACATAGCCATATATTGATTATTTATTCTCCAGGTGCACAGTTTTTTTTATGTTGTTAAAACACTGTACAGTACAGTATTTTATTGTTCATCTTTTAACTCTTCACTATTATGTTATTCTTATAAATTTTTCTAAGCTCCACATTGTGTGACCATTTTTTCTATAATCTTTTTGCTACTGTAAACACCAGAATTTCCCCATTGTGGAACAATAAAGGGATTTTCTATTCTATTCTATTCTATTCTATTCTATTCTATTCTATTCTATTCTATTCTATTCTATTCTATTCTATTCTATTCTATTCTATTCTATTCTATTCTAACTAAAACAACACAGTTTAGCCGTAGCAGACAGCCCAATTACCGAGTAAACACATCAACCAGCAAGCGGATGTTTGTGAACATAACATTTTAGGGTGGGACTATTCTGCACCATTGCTGTTTGAAATTACCACCAGTAAACTACAGGTATCAGGTCTGCTAAGTAACCACCTGTGAGGAAGCCTAATTAAAGTTAAAATAAGATAGCAAAACTTTAGTAACTGTTTGGCTGAGAATAAAGAATTATTAAAAACAGGATCTGACTGAGATGCTGAAAAAGGGCATACTTGCAAATCCAACCAAAAAGATGCATCTGATTAATGCATTTTTGTGTCTTAATCATTTACCTTTTTTTTTCTTTTTTTTTTTTTTGGGACTGCATTTGATTTATGTACGTCTGAAAAAAAAAAAAATTTTTCTTATAGTTTTGTCATTCATAAAAAACATTTCTACATTTGAATTCACTCAAAGATGATCTTGTGGTATGTTTAAAGCTTGTGGTCTTGTTGGTTGGATCTCTTTAATAATGCATCGTACACTTCAAGACATGCTTCTGCTTCTGCTTTGGTTCGGTTCGCATCCACATCTGATGTCATTCTCTAGGCTAGTACTCACATGGGTTGACTTTCAGAGTGATGGGCTCCTTTATCAGAATGATGCGTGTTGCCAGGTATTGGACATTACAGGTGTAGTCATCCCGACTGTCATCCATTGTCAAATGGGCAAAGTACAGGTTGCCATCCAATCCAACCACCATCCGCTTACTCAGCTGAATATGGCGCAAATCTTAATAGAGAAAATACAGTTTTAAAGAGCTAAACAGAGAAAATATTTCTATCTCAGTTTATTCCAACCATTCAGTATTGAATATTCTTAAAAACTAAGACGGTGTACTTAAAAGGATTGTTCTGTAAAAGTACGATGAAAAAAAAAGCAAAAGATGAATAACAAAGTGCAGTTAAGAACTTATCCCTCTAGTTTTGCTACATATCTAAAATTCATTTAGAAATGCTTTTTGAAATACATTCCTCTTTTTTCTCAGATATGATCAAAGTGAAGCACAAAAGGAAGAGCATACACAGTAAGAGGCGCATGTAATAGAAGTGGAGATAATGAACTCACTCTGATCCATCCAATGAATGTTGGGCTCCATGGAGCTCTGAGGGGGGTTACACTTCAGCACGATGCTGCTTCCCTCATCTGACTTCACAGAAACTCTATTCTCCCTCTGCAGGGTAGGGGGGACTGCACAGGGGTAAACAAGGAACAAACACGCAAAGGTGAGTTTGCGTAGAAACAGGTGGTAAACAAACAGCAACCCGTATAGAATATTTCCTGAGGCAGTCCTCAACACATGTCATCTAAAACCCACACTGATGAGGAGCCTTATTTCTGGGTTTCTATTACAAAATCCCCACTTTTAAGATGTAGAATGGTTGAATATGTGAGTCTTCAGTGTGTGCTCTCAATCTCCCCCTGCTTTCCGCTCAGTGTTGATAACCCCTCAGGAGCCATTGAAAAGAGCATCACATGACATCAACTCAAGTGTTTCTCAGGAAACCGTTGTCAGGGAAACTGTGAAGGAAGGAGGTTGCCCAGGAGAGAGCCAGCCAGGCAGGTGGATGGATGTTGGCTCAGGGTTTGTCTGCATGTGTGTATGATTATCATGCTGAAATTGTATGATAATCATGTAATTGTGATGCAGCTCAGGAGTGAGCTACTTTTATTTTTAGAGAGTCAAATTGATTAAGTGTAGGTTACAGAAGAGAGCTAATTTAAAATGAAGTATTTGTTTATTTTACCTATCCTTACTCAGCATCCTCTTAGTTCCCCAAGCATAATAGTGACAGCATCTTTATGCCACTTGTGGTAAAGATCTAGTTTTTTTAACCCAACAGCTCATGTTTTTGGACTTTGGGAACAAGACAGAGCACCCTGGGAGAATCCAGGCATGCACTGGGAGAACACGCAAACTCCTGCAGAAAGACTCCAGGCTGGGAATCAAACCTAAAATTTTCTTGCTGCAAGGCAACGGTGCTACAATCTGTGCCACCGTGTAGCCCCTTTTGTAAGTCAATTATATAAATCCAGTGTCTAAGACTAATCCCTGACTTGTTCTTTTAAGCACATAACAACAAAGATAATAACTTAAATTTCAACATTATCAACACTGATCTGAAGGAACTTTTGTCAACAGATGCCAGGTTTGAGCATTTTACATTAAACAAGCTATCAATCACTCAAGATAAATACATCTCTTACCATCGGTTCGAAGTATTGCTTCCTTTGACACTGCAGTACCAAGCTCATTGGTAGCATAGCAGACGTATTTGCCTTCGTATGACTTTGGCGGGTCCCTAGTATTACTTGGAAGTGCTTGGAAAACAAACGAGTACGGATTTTTCTTAACTTCAAGCTCTGTTTTACTGCTTGGGTCAAATGGCAGTCCATCCTTAGTCCAGCTAAAACTAAAGCAAAAAAAAGAGAGAGAAGCTGATCATTTAAGCACCAGTTGCATAGTCATTTTCATGTCTCTGAAAGCAGTCAATTATGCACAGAAGATGTCACTGGAATTGAGGGCACAAATGGATTGCTTTAAAATGTACATGGATGCCCCAGTGGGGCTCAGATGCTTATGCTGTGTGTAATAGCGATGCTCTTCTTTTTTCCTCTGCAATAGGAGCAGTTTTACACTTCAGAGCAGCTAAGACACTCTGAGGGAAGATTGCCTGAGGGCTTAATGACATTTATCCTCTGTTGAAACAAGAACTCTGACTGGGAGAAGCTGTGCTCTCGTGTAATGTTAATATGTAGATGTCAGATGAACAAGGAGAAGGAAGGTCACTATTCTCAGTTGGCTAAAGAATGAGTGAAAAAACATCTATTATACAGAAAAATACTTGAACATCGTTATTATATATGACTGTAGGTCATATATATATGACTATATATATATATATATATGACTATATATATATATATATATATATATGACTATATATATACATATATATATATATGACTATATATATATATATATATATATATATATGACTATAGATATATATATATATATATGACTATAGATATATATATATATATATATATATATATATATATATATATATATATATGACTATAGATATATATCTATATCTATATATATATATATGGAGCAATCCAAGGTTTACCTTTCAACAGGACAGTGACTTTAAAGCGACACATAAATGACTGTAGCTGTACTAGAAAGTACTTCATTTTTATCTATCATTTTCTATTCCCTTAAAAATCTTAGTTTCAGTCTGTCACATGCAGCTGGTTTGTAATGCCAAAAAGTCTTGAAAGTTCAATGGGTATCAATTATTTTGTAAAGTGCCGTAGAACCATTGTGATTATGTGTTTGCATGGATGTGGGTGTGCTAACTGACCTGGGTGGAGGGACGCCAGATGCTTCACAGGTCATGTTCAGGTCCTCAAAGCTAAATATGGTGACTGAATCTGGGTGCCTGGTTATCTGAGGAGGCCTTTTGTCTGCATGGACCCAAACAAGAATTCATTTAGGCACAGAATACATTCAAACGACCGATTCGGTTAATACATGCACAGAAATAATGATATGTGAACACAATGCTGAATTCTCATGGCGTCCTTTCACAGTGCTTTCTGCTGTAATTCTAGTTCTGGTGTGTGCACCGACTGCAAACCTCAAGACTGTGTCACAAAACATCTGCACTATCTGTTCAAAGGCTTACAAACAGCCAAGACAGACCAGAGATAAAGAAGTATACTTAATCAATATCACTTGACTAGGCTCTGCAGAGAAAGAAATTAAATATAGGTCAAGAAAAATAGTAGGATGAAGAGAAAGGACAGAGAATGTGTTTTCAATGAGAGGAAATTGAGACAATGTTGGAGGATAGTTAATGTAGAAAAAAGATATGGCTCAATGTTTCCTGTGAGAATATGGGAGTCTATGGGGAGAAGGAACAAGATTAACATGTTCATTAGAATCTGTTAGCTAGATAAAAGCCTAGAAATAAACCTGAATAAAGTTTTTGTTTAGCTTTAGCAAGTGTGCTTGTGATCTGATTTAGCTGCACTTGGAAATGCATGCAGGATGTAGAGAAAATATGTACTGGATTTGAAATATAAAGCGGGTCACAACATGTTAAAAAAAATAGTACATTTTCAGGAATTCATATTATCTAGAAAATTTCAAGCCTTGCATGATTTGATTATCCTAGCTATTCTGACTAGGTTTTATTTTTTCCCTTAAAAATGTCCATTTAAACCTTGGCTCCTTATAACTACTGTTATTATCAAGTAACAGGCTGCACTATATCACAAGTTTCCTTGCCTTTTTATGTTAAATGCCTGTCAAACCTGTATTTGGCTTAGATATGTTAAAGCCAAATGTAGAGTCAGAAAGATTTACAATTATGCATTTATAAATGGTAAATTCATATGTCGGTTGTTGAAGGAGTATAACTGTATATGAAAACAAGTATTTTATTCAATGGAATATCTGGATTTAAAAAAAAATATACAAATGGTCCAGCTATAAGATATTATAATGATTAAAAAGACAAAGTTGCTTTTAACTGGCTGTATAATGTGATGATCGAGACCCAATCCTCGTCTGATTGGATGATCAATAAGTAGAACTCCCCTTCCCTAAAATCACAGGCTGCCAAGGAATGCCATATTTGATTGTTTTATTCCTCAGTGTTCTGTCTATAAACACAATCTCTATCTAAATGCATGGAGATAGTTCTGAAATATTTTGTAATCATTAGTCGGTTTCTCTACTTTGAAAAATTTCCAAGCCCAATGTTGGGGCCTAAATCGAATGTTTTATTTATCTTTTTAGGAGAAGGCCAATATCTTTTTACTGTACAGATAATACATATATTTTTACCCAAGACAAAAGCAGGTATTGAACTCAAAAATAGATAGGAAAGATATTGAGAAAGAGATAACCTTTGATAAACTTTGATCCCTTATCAGTTTGATTCATATTTTGAATACCTATTTCCTTTTATTAAACATAAATTCAATTTAGTTTGTGAGTAGAATAAGGATTGTTGGATTTTGTTTTTTGTTTTATTTGTGTTTTTTCTAAGGTCTATGTGTGAATAGTAAAGTATGTGATTACTGTTTTTCATTAGCAGTTATTTGTTTCCAAAAAAATCTTAAAATTTATTTAACTGTTATTACATTCATTTTTAATTATTTTAAGACTTTTTGCCATATGAATATCAATGATTTTAAAGTACCTTAATATCTCTGTGAAGTTTTAAAAAAATTAAGACACAAAATATTAGATTTTTCCAAAGTGGTTGCTTCAAGGTAACTTTATTGTTCCCCTTTTTAACTTAAAGGAAAATAGAAAACTTTTACATTTGGGGATTATTCTAATTATACGTATGTAGGTAAATGGAGGGAGTAGGTTAATGGAGAGAGAGATGCAGTAGATGAGATAAAGGCACTGAAGATGGAGTGCTGAGTGTGAATGGAAGATAAATAAAATAAAGAACAAATGGTGGAGCAGATAAACAAATAAATCAAACAAGCTAAATTCAAGAAGAGACAGATGAGAAGAGTGTGTGAATTTAATGAAAGAATTCCCACTCAGAAAATAATCCCATTTTCTCAGCTGATCAAATTGAAGGGAGGGCTGAAGGCACTACATCACTAGAAGGAGACAAGTTGCTGCTTATGCCTTAACTCCTCTTAATATCTTCAAGTCTTTGATCTGAAAGCCGTGCTGCCAGCTCCTCAAACTTTATCCTATATGTTCCTACCGATACATTATCTACTGAGAGCCAATAAGACCGAAACCCAACCATTACAAACAAAAAGTGGCTCGTGTTCACAAAGCTATACTTGCATTGACATGCATATGAGCCTAATCCAACTAAGGCACAGTCCAATACTATATTCATTTTAGTGCACCACTGTCAGCAGGATGGAGAATAGCCTCTCAGGCATAATGGAAGTGTTTACAATGAGTTTTAGAAGAAAATTTGTTAGTAAAGGAACAACAGAAAGTAAGATAAAAGCACTCACGTTCCCCTATGTAATTTGTTGGTCCACAAAGTTAGCGAGAGGGAAGGAAATGAGAAAAGATACATGTTTCAGACACACAGACAAGTAAACATATCGATTTACACCCAAACAATCATTTCATATTTGTCATATATCTTATTGTGAGTGGCATGTATATGTATGTTTATATGTACACGACTTGATTTATTTCCTCACTCAAAGGACTGCATCATAGTTTGAACTAAGCAGTAAAGTAGGAATGAGGTACATGGCTGGATTTGAAGACTATAGGAAGGAGAATATACAAATATTTATCATTATTATACATGATGGTTGTATGTGCTGAATGTTTTGTTTTACAGGGCTGTCTGAAATAAGAAGAATTCATTTATTCATGCATACATTTATTTTTACTTGCTAAAAAGTGTTATGCAGTTAATCCCCCAAAGAAATAGTAGCATGTCTGTATGAATCCAAGCCTTCTTTTTTTGAAGGTCTCACTGAATAAACAGCATCATAAAGATCAAGGACCATTAAATTAAGTCAGACTGCTGATAAATCTGGAAGAACTACAGCCTTTCACAGCTGTGCTCTAATCAGTTGACCAAAACTTGACTTTTGGCCTCAATGTTAAAGACAATGGACCTGATTGACCAATGGTTATTAAATGCCCAAACCCGACTCTTTGCTTGCACAGTCAAGTTTTGGCCGGTCTATTAACCAGGTGCAAATCGGATTTCATCTAAGATGTCTGCCCTAATTGTAGCAAGAAGTAAAGAGGGAAGAGGTGCAATGACAGATGATGGAGAGAAAAAATCTTTCATCATTATGTCAACATATCCTGTAAACATATCCTGTCAGAATAAAAAAAAAATCTAATGAAAAATTGCTATTTTTGAGCTGCTGGATTAACTAAGGCTGGCCTGAAGGTAGTCACAAGTAGAAACCATTCCTGAGGAGGGGGACTTATATATATTTCAAAGGTGAAGAGCTATGGGGGTGTTTACACTTTAATTATAATTATCAAGTAAAAATCATGATCAAGTAAAAAGTATTTTGAAAGGGGTGTATCTTTATATATGTAACAAACTGTAGCACTCATAAATTTAACAGTACTCTTATCAAACAAGTGTGCTCTTTGTGTTTATTAGTGCTAAAATGTATTATTATATCATATTATGTAATAAATAATTTCTCCTTTTTTGCTGTCATGGTATTGCCGCTGTCCACACATGGGTGGTTCTAAAAAACTTACAGTCTGCAGCAGATACCTTCCCCTATCTCTCATGCATTAAGAATTATAATGCAAAAATGATCTTCTTCTGCATGGTGGCTGGACACTTCCTAAGTGATAGGAAAGGGTGAAGAGCCCAGCCAGAGATAGGGTGAAGGGCTCAAAGTAGAACAGCTGTTCCTTCAAGATGAGTCAGCTGAGGTAGCTCTGACATCTGTTTCAGATGCTCCCTGAACGCCTTTGAAGATAAAGTGGAAGACTAGTACGAGTTTTGTCTTCTATTTTACCATGTTTTCTCAAAACAAATCTGTTTTGGAGGGCTGGACTACCTTTTTTTTCCATCTTTAATAAACTTAACCCTGAAATATCATCTTTGATAAAAGAATAGAAACACAAACACAAATTCTCCATTTGATGAAAAAAATTGATTTTGTCCTCCCTGGTAAGGTGATTTGGTCCTGAATTTTTGTTTGTTTGTTCAACTCAGCAGAGGTCTTTTTTTTCCTCCACTGTCTGTAATTATAACTGCAATCCATTAGCAGTTCGCTTGCACACCGAGTGGCTGCTTTTTTGATGTGCAAATAAAAAACGGACTTATTTCTCAAAAAATATCCATGGTGAAAGCCATTTGCAGAAGCAAAATCCTCCTTTTAATAGAGTGATCGACACCACGGTTGCACCCATAACTAATTGTGAATCTTATTTTTATCATCTGCAACTCAACCACTTATTGCAACAGCAATTTTTTTTCTTTGCTTATATATGCAATTTATCACTCCTTTTTGGGATCTTGATAGATCAGGCTTTATGTTCAGTTGTAAACAAACCAGGCCCATTATTTTGAACACCATCCACATCATGGAAAACAGTGGCGAGAGTATCACGCTATTAGGAGATCCTTTTTTTTAGCAGGGACACCGAAGTTGTTTAAAGATTATGGGAGGATGTTTTGGGCTAAAACAGGGCAGCCCAGGAGATTTTCCTTCCAGAAGAACAACTATGAATTTATCGTTAGCATGATAACCTACTGCTAAATCTAATTGTGAAGATTTGATAACCTGTACTGGCAATGGCTGTCAATCAATAGGACTAACGATGAGGTATTTGAAGAAAAAAAAAAAATATATATATATATATTATTATCTCTAGTATTCAGAGATACAGCAGAATCCCAGAGTTCCTACACTGTCTATGCAACCACATCTAATGTTGTATTGAGACTGAACGCAGTGTCCGCGGTGATTTCCACTAACCCTGCAAGTAGTTCAACGGTCTGCATTTCAGATGCACAGTGTTTACATAGATATATCAAAGGTTAATTTTTAAGGTCCAGCATCCTCCCATTAAGCTCCGAATTGAATAAAAATGATCTACTTTTTCAGTGCTACTTGATTTATGCAGGTAAAACTGCTGTTTGTCCTGATCTGATTTTTAAGATAGAATAATTTTAATTTGGCTGATGATGTCGCCATCCCAGCAGATGTTAGAGCAGCTGTTTCAGTATATCAAGTTATTGCCTAATATGATATGGCATTCCTGTGCTGGCATTGAATATAACACTGGGTATGTTTACCTTATTTAGAGGGTATAATTATTGTGCCACAATACGCAGTACTTTATCAGCCTCCTAGATTCTTCAATTTGGACCTGATTACCCCTGGCAACCCCATAGCATATCGTGTCAAGGTCTCACTGCCAGCACTTCACAATAAAAGCATGAAATGTAGCATTACAGCATGCTGCTAAATTGTTCTCTCTGCACAACTTTTGATTTGGCTTAGGGAGACCATCAACTTTTGGAAAAGCCCAAGAAGCCCTGAAAAAGTAGATCACTATGGTTCATCTAGCTGGCTAGGCTAGCTAAGAACAACTTTCCAAATATTTGCTTACTGCCCAAAATTCTTGCAACTATTATTGAAGTTAAAAGTGATTTTCTTGTTTTTTGTTTACATGTATATGTTCAAACCAATGTATATTTTTACAACTTTGCACTACTTTGTGTTGGTTGGTTGGGTGGTTGGTTGGTTGGTTGGTTAGGTATGTAGGACCCTTAACAAACATTTCATTAATCTCTTTTATTGATTATGATTGGTGTCTCAGTAACTCTAATCGACATGTTAGAGCCTCTTTAATTGAAAGGCAGAGGACACCTTGACCTTTCCCATTTCAAGGTTTGACCTTTCCCCCCCATCCCCCTTTCTCCTTAGCATCATCATCGTCATCCCTCCATCCTCCTTGGCCTTCTCACCTCTGTGTCACCTTGCCCCTTTGGGAGTTAGATGGCAAAAAATCACTGCCTTTCATCATATTTTTGAAGGGTGCGTGGGCTAAGAAGAGGGCTTGTGCTGCTGTTTGTGCTTTTACTTTTTTTTTTTAGTTTGTGTAGGTGGTGAAGGATTGTGACAAAGAGTAAAAAAAAATGAAGAACAGTAGAGGAAACAATAATCTTTTGGCCAACCAGAAGCAGCAGCAGTGGTGGCGGCAGAGTAGATGAAGATCAATTTCCCTGCGGGCCTCAAGCTCAGCTGTATTTTTAATGCTCACATATTGCATCGAGGAGGTGGAAGAAAAAAGACTAGGGATGAAAAATGCTCACAGAATGTCTGTTGTGTAACCAAATTGTTGATTTAATTCCCTTCAATCTGGTTTCACCGAGGAAACTAGATCAATAGATGGACTAATCAATGCAGTATGAAGGGATCAGTTACAGAGTAATTAGATACACCACTGCCTCCAAATGAGCACTAGGCAGGGATATCTCTGAAAGTAGTATTCAGAGTATAAAAGAGCTTTCTTTTGTTAAACATTTTGGTTAATAAGGAGAAAACATGTTACCATAGTTCAGTTTCATTAATTTATCATGATTGACAATCATTATGGTGTGTGCTGATAAATCTATAGTCAATAATTAACACAAAATATAGATATTTTCAATCTAATTGCAGCATTCAGCTATTGTTGCATGTTAGGACATTAATCAGTACTCACAGTTGGAGGGCATTTCAATGGCTGCCTGGCTGGGCAGGACTCCGAGGAAAAGGAGAGCTAGTACAAGGGGGAGGAGGTGGAAGGAGTTGTGCCCCCTACTGTAAACCTGCTGTCGCTGCATGAGAGGCATTGCTCACAGTGCCATCAAATTCCCCCCTGCTCAAAGACTCACAGTACAATACACACAGAGGCTAGCACACGCACACAGAAGGTGAGCAGGTGTCAGGATGTGCTTCACATGCAAGGTTCATATGTCTCCGGTCCTGCTGGTCTTCTGTCTCTCCTTTTGGCCTTTAAATCAGTGCCACGCCCTTTCTCAGGAAACTATAAGATGAAATGGAAAGGAGAGGTGGGGGTTGGGGAGGAGGGTAAGAGAAATAAGGGAGGGGCAGAGAGGAGACCCTGTGTTAGAATGAGAGAAAATTACCCTTTAACATGTGGTAAGACCGATACAGAAAGCTGAAGAGACAGCTATTATCTCTGAAACAAGATTCTACTAAAATGCTATAAAACCATTTTTCATATTCCCCGAATTTACACTATCTCGGTATCTTCATAGATTATGAAAGGAAGCTAACTGCAGAGGCGAGAGTTAACAATCAGTCTGATAGCTGACAAAAACCAATGCACTAAAAACACTCCAGTTTAAAAAATAAAATTTAAGTAGTTTACCCAAGCACCTTCAGATGTTTGTAATAGGTGGTTATTTACACACAGGCTAATAAATACTGGCATCACAAATAGAGGTTTTTGGTTCTGTTTACAAGTTAGAGGAGAATGGAGCAGGAGATCGATGGACCGTGTAGCTCCTGTGGACGCTGCAACCATCTGAAGGAAATCCCAAAAACAAGCGGCTGAAATAAGCTTCACATCAAGAGCACACACCTGCACTGCAAAAATGATCTAGAAATAAGTGAAAATGTCTTAAAGTAAGTTAAATTACTCTTAATTTAAAGCAGGGAAATAAGATCATTTGCCAATGGAATGAGTATTTTTACTCTTAGAATAATTTAATTAGATAATATGCACTTGAAATATGACAATGCAGTTCTTTTTTCTTATTTTAAGTGTAAATTGTCTAGTTTCATTGGCAAAATGTCTCACTTACCCTCTCAATTCAAGAAAAAGGCACTTATTTTATGAAAACAATGACTTAATTAGATTTACATTTGCAGTGTGAGGTGGGTCAGACATCCATTGGAAAAGGCCCTGGGAATGGCACCAGATACTCTGGAGGGACGATGTCTCTCAGCTGATCCTGGAACCCTCAAGCTTCCCACAGAGGAGTTAGAGTAGCTGTTTGGACAGCTTCTCCAGCTGGAGTCCAGGATAAGCTCAAGACGATGAATAGTTTTACATGCTTAGTTTTTACCATGTGGTTTGTAGATTTGGATTATTTTAGGTTTATTTTTCATTGACGTATACTCTTACACTTAATGCTTGAAGATCATTTAACTCATCGGGGAAAGGGGGAAAAAACTTATGCATATTTTATATAAAATACTACCAACTGTGTTCTGAAAAATTAGATGACCATATAAAAACGTTTTTTGTCTCATTTAAAGGTTTCAGATAAAGAATAAATGGGAATCCCATTCGTTATGGTAAAAAAATTGAACCATTTTGACCCTACCTGAAAAACCTTAATTTGAGAATCAAGGTTCTCACTGAGGATCACTGGAGTCCATCTGGGGTTAATTTAATTTCTGTCTGCAACTTTGTTCCAGTGCGTTCTAAAACTTTTTTAGATCAGGGCATTAATGATGCTTTGTGAGATCTAATAGTAAATTATGTTGTTGGGTTCTGATTATTTGGATTATTGATTGAGACAGAGGTCTGGTATTACGTATTAAATATGTAAGTAACTTTTTTTTCCTATAGGGACAGGTTATGACCAAAAAGATATTATTATAAATTATACTTTTAATAGTACTGTATACTGTTAATAAAATACCAAGGACCAAAAATGTTTTAAAACTGGCTGTTTGTGCAGTATTTGAGAAAATTGGAAGCCAAATAAAATAAAATGCAAATGTGTTGAAATTTTCATTAAATAGTATTAAGCATTGATCAACTATGGCCTTTCTAGAACTAGCTGTTAGCTGTCCAGAGAGTTGCCCACTGAGGGTGGTATATTTACATCTTTCGACTCATTTAGAGAACTTTACTTCAAAAATCGATAAACTGGCAAATCTCGATAATCATCCTGGCAATCGAAGTTCTAAAAACTGTCCCATGTTCTCACACATGAAAAACATCTTCCATTAATTTCCTCATTACATGGCCACCGCCCCATATAAACAGGTCACCCAGAAACGCAGATGGTGCGAATGCCAAAACAAGCAGGGGAAAAAAAACACCAAATCTGATATTCCACATCCTGCATCTCTGGTCATACAGAAAAAAAATGACATGCCTAAAGTGGCGCTTCTAAACAGATAGTGCTAAAGATGCTTTCACTGGTGGGGAGTGAGGCTCTCCGCCCCGCTCGGAGTCTATCCCTATTCCATCTGTACGGTTGGAGCCGGTGCCCACTGCTGCAAGCCGGCTATCCTTTCCTGCGGCACCACATGGAGCAAGCCTGCTGATTGTTTACACTGCTCAGTATCACACACAAAGAGCTGTTATGGCACACCATGATTAAGACGTGCGCATGTGAGACAAAAGAAAATGGCAATAATAGACCCATGGAGGGTTGGGAGGGGACTGTTTGACAGCTACGCAGGCTGAGTGGAGATTTTTGGCTTAAACTACCACTGATTTTTGGCAGAGGCACAGCATCCAAGAAAGGTGACCTTGACAGAGAGAAGGTGAGGGAGAAGAGATGAAGATGATGAGTGAGCATGGAGGGTGGGAAGAAGGTGAAGAGGGGTGATTATCTCTCATTTTCTTTCATCGAGTGGGTAATGGCTGCCACAGTAATTACTGTTTATATTTTGTCACTCAGGGGGTGACGGAGAAGGAGAAAGCAAGGGGGAAATGTTAGATTCTTCTATAAGAACAGAAGAGACAATTCAGATCAGATTAAATTAAAGAACAAACAGGAGCTAAACCCCTAATAAGGCTATTTAAACTAACAGCTTCAGGATTAAATGAGGCATTACTCTCACTCGTTTGCCTTTCAGAGTAATTGTAAGCAGAGGGAGATGGAGGGGTGAGTGGGAGGAGGACTTTAGGAAAGATAAGTAGATAGAGGTTGTTGAGGGGATGCACAGATGAGAGGGAGAGGTAAAGCTGAGGATGGAGAACAACAGCAGAAGAAGGATGTCACAAAGCAACAACTGCAAAACTAATCCCAGCTTTCCACTTGTGTACACACATATGCATGATCTGCAAGATCCAACAATTAGAGTGCATCATTCACTTTTCCCTTTGTCCTCTTCTTCACTCCCAGTCTCCCTATCACACTAACTCTTCTTTAGTTGTTGTGCTTTGGAGACAGGCAGCCAATTAGTCTTTAACCGGCATCTCCAAATGCCTTTAGAGGCAGATGAATGCAGAAGAGCTCATTGGGGTGTAAGTCAGGGGATTATTCTGATTTAACCCTTATATTATGTTAAGGGTCAATTTGACCCATTTCAGTTTTTGTGTTGATCAAAGTACTGGTTATCTTTTTTTCTTCTTCATGAAATTTGGTGACTTTTCCTCATCTGGGGTCATGAACATGTGTGTAAAATCTGGCCACTCTGATGTGTAGTGGAGTGTCTGTGCAGAGTATGTATACAAATATGATGTTGCGGGTCATTTTGACCTGGACACTTTAATGTGGGTATTTAGCCATTCAGGTAAATAAAAATGGCTCTTAGATGTACTTTACTCTTTTCATTTGCCTCTGAGACCCAGACCCAGGTGTGGTAAGGGAGGGAACTTTCTTACACTAGTTCTTGTCACTGCTCTCACGTCATCTATATGAAAAAACTCATCAAAAACTTAGCTCCTGAAGGATTACAGCTGAGTAGTCTTTTTCACAAATTTTAAACTTGGATAGTGATGTAGAGCAAGAGTTTTCTAAGGCAGAGGATATTCCAGAATCAGAAGACAAAGTTGTTGACCCACATTATCAATTCTCCTACTATGAGATGGACTCAGAGGAAGAGTCTTCTATTATCCCCCGAACAGATGAAAGCCCAGGAATGAGGCAATCATCTTCTGCAAGAGTGACAACATCACAACACCAGAGTTGATGCAGACTATCATCAGCTAATTTGATAAAAACTCCTGGTCCTACCAGATTTGCAATCACATGAATTGAAGAGATTCAATCAGCATTGCTCAGAATGCCCATATCATAATATGGGCAACCTGAGGTGCAAAATCCAGCTATGCATGATATATGCAAGTATACTGTATACTGGAAAGCTATCTGGAGGAAAAGCTTAGAAGAATCAGGGGATGTGTGTGATGCTGCATATGAGTGAAGGGCTGCAAGTCATAACATCACTTGTGACAGCCTCTATGTCCTACCTGTTTGGAGAAGAACTTCAGAAAAGAAAGCTGACCATGTTGGGAACAGAAGGTTCTTATCATGAATATAATGCAAGCTGATATATCTCTGAGCACAAGAAAGGACTTGAAGGCACAAATGATCCTGGATTATAACTCAACCAGAGGAGGAGTTGACAATCTGGACAAAGTCACAGCAATATACAGCTGCCAAGGCAAGACTGCCCGCTACCCAACCAACATAAAGTGGAGACGGGTGAATAGAAGAGGAAAAGATCACAGCTCTGTCCCTCCAGAGAGGACAGTAAAACAAGTACATCTTGTGTGAAATGTATGAATTCCATCTGCAAAAAGCAGTTACATTCTTCCCATCATTTGGAGAACTTTAAAATTGTTGAATGTTCAAAATATTAGTAACTAGCGAATTTTAAAGCTAAATTTCAAAAAACAAAATTTGTGAAGAGGGAACATTTTAAACCTAAATAAAGCGTGTGAAATAAAACTGTATGGTTTGTCACTTGACTTAATGTTTAAGTAATCTAAAATAAATTGGTTATTGGTTTAACCTGTTTTCTTGACTATTTTGCTTGTATTTAGACAGTGCGGGTCAAAATGACCCGCAACATAATGAATGTAATTTTTTTTCAACATAATATAAGGGTTAAGAAGGGAAGTCGCCTATTAGCCTACTCTAAAGAGACAGTGAGGTTATCCTGAGTGGCGCAATGTAAGATGTTGATTAATGATTAGGGGCTAAAACACTGTCATCCTGCAGGTCAAAGTTCCCTGAGGAGGCAACTGTACAATTTAATACACACAGAGATATCAGGTGGTAGCTATCAACCTCTTCAGTTTGATAAGGTCTCATTGGTGGCTAATAA